AACAGAAGTTTTACCATTTACAGAAAAGTAAACTTGATTAGTTAATTTACTGAGCTTTAGTTTCCTCATTTGTAAAAATGGGACTAACAATACCTGTATATCAAGAGTGATGTGAGGACCAGGTGAGAAAATGCATTCAAGAGATTGAGCAGTTTGCTCAAGGAGAGAGCCTGGAAGCAGGGGGACCAGGTTTAAATCCAAGTCTTTTTGATGCTGGATCATTAGACCTTAACTTCTATACTATCCTGCCACTAAAATGGCCCCCATGGCTAACTTCCTCAGTCTTATAGTCTTAATATGTTAGAATATCCTCTCCCTAACTTAAGAAGAATACAAACATTTATTCATCCATCCATCCATGCATTCATTATTTTATTTATGTATGCCAGAAATCTCAGCTTTAACTGGTGATGCAAGATTCACCATTTAGGGCCTGGAGTTTGCTCAATGACAGAATTAGAATATTTGATATAAAGAATAGCCTGTGGATTGGAAGGAAGACTGACAGAATGGATGAGTTCAAGTTTTAGTCCACCATGAACAGTAGGACAGTTTGCCCCTCAGTGAACTGCTCTAATTTTTATCCTGAAAGTTAAAAAACCCTCACAAACATTTATTGAGATGCACAGGTACCATACAATTCACTTGTTTAGAGTATATAATACTATACCGTATTACAGTCAATTATACGTCAATGAGGGCTTCCCTGGTAGCTCAGCTGGTAAAGAATCTGCCTGCAATGTAGGAAACCCTGGTTTGATTCCTGGGTCAGGAAGATCCCCTGGAGAAGGGGTAGGCTCCCCACTTCAGTGTTCTTGGGCTTCCCTGGTGGCTCAGATGGTAAAGAATCCACCTGCAATGCAGGAGACACGGGTTCAATCCCTGGGTCGGGAAGATCCCCCAAAGGAGGGCATGGTAACCCACTCCAGTGTTCTTGCCTGGAGAATCCCCATGGACAGAGGAGCCTCATGTGCTACAGTCCATGGGGTCACAAAGAGTCAGACACGACTGAGCGACTAAGCAGCACAGCATATCTCAATGAAATTAGAAAAAAACACTATAATAGTAGAGTTGTATAACCATCACCACAAGCAATATTAGAACATTTCATTATCTCAGAAAGAAACCCCATACCCATTAACACTCACTCCCCATTTCTCTACTTCTCCCCCACAAGCCACCAAGCTTAGATAATCTATCTTATGTGTCTAAAGATTTGCCTATTTTGGATATTTCATATCAGTGGAATCACACAATATATGACTTTTTGTCTCTGGTTGCTTTTTTTAGCGTAATGTTTTCAAAGTTCACCCATGTTGTAGCATGTAGCAGTACTACCCTGCTTTTTTGGCTGAATAATAATCTATTATATGGACTTCCACTGCAGGGGGCACAGGTTTGATCCCTGGTGGGAGAGTTAGGATCCCATATCTCATGGGGCTTGGCCAAAAGAAAGAAAGAATGTTAAAAAAATTTAAAAATAAATAAAATGTCAAGTAAAACTGTAAGTCATATACACATAATGCCTGTGAGAAGCTTTCCTGATGGCTCAGTTGGTAAAGAGTCTGCCTGCAGTGTGGGAGACCCATGATTGATCCCTGGGTGGGGAAGATCCGCTGGAGAAGGAACTGGCAACCCACTCCAGAATTCTTGCCTGGAGAATTCCATGGATGGAGGAGCCTGGTAGACTGCAGCGCGTGGGGTCACAGAGTCGGACACAACTGACACTTTCACTTTCACAATGCCTATGAGATTGGTTTTCTTGATTTAAAGAAATCCTTAAGTAGTCTAGCTTCAAAACTGTAACTGTTTAACTTGAAAGCAAATGCAGTGGCTAATTAGGTAAAAACCTCTTAGCTTTGAACTTGAGAAATTGTGGGTCAGGCCAACTGTATTTGATTGTTTTTTGGTCCAATCTGGCAACAATCACTGATGGCTGCTTAAACTCCCATCTGATGGCTGCTTAAGTGACAAGTTCCTGGGGGAAATTCTGTAATAGGTCATTTGGGAACCCCAAAATCCAGTCAATATTCTTAACATCACTAAATATGGGGCACCCAGACATATTTCTTCAAATGTGACACAAGAGGAAGTACATACTACTGCCTATGAGATACTTTTGCCAAAATAACTGAATCTTAATCTAATCATGCTTCTAGATCTAACTACCAGTTTACAAAAATATGGAGGCTAATAGAACAAGAAAAACAATGCTACATATCAGCCAAATCTAGAATGTTGGAAAATCTAGAAGACAAAATGGTCCAGTTTATTCACCCAAAATACAGTATAGAAAGGAAATGGGGAAGTAGTATAGACCAAAATAATCTTAAGAGACATATAAACCAAATCAATGATATGGATGCCCTCTTCCTGAGTTCTTCAGATACAGAATAAGATGTAATAGATGTGGTAAGACTATCGGTTTCCTAAATGAGAGGACACCTTTGGAATGAATTAAAGTGTTACTCAAAACATTCCCAAAGTGACTTTGTGCTCGTTAAAGTAGAAACTGCAGATATAAATCACTGCACTTATAAGAGAATCCAAGGAAATCATTCCTATCCATAAATTTTGGAGAGAAAATAGTTAATAAACTATATCATTTTACTTTAATTACTAGGAGACAGTATTTTCCTTCTCAGCTCAAGTAGGATACACATCAGTGAGTAGGAGTGTATTTTAACAGTTATTGTATTACTCTATAACCATAAAAACATACTGACTCACTTTCATTTAAGCACAGAAGCTAAATAAGATCCAAGTGAAATGCTAGGAAAGTCATCTCCAACTGAGATGCCAACTAGAGGTTCAGGTTTTCATGGCAGTTCCAAAGTTCCCCTAAATCCTGAATGAATGGAACTTTGGAGTCAGTCACACCTGTAACTGTTCCTGGTTCTGATACAGTTTGGTGAATTTGGGCAGGTAACAATTATTAAAAACAACTCTGTGGAATTTACAAGGTATAATTTACAATTCTCAAATGTACAGTTTCATGATTTTAGTGAATTATGCCATTGACCAACTTTCACCAATTTCCATCACCCCATAAAGTTCTCTCCTGCCTATATTCAGTCAAACCTGTACTCCCAGCCTGAGTGAACACTGATATGCTTCCTATATCTACACATCTGCTTTTTCTAGACATTTTATATAATTGGAATCATACAACACAGAGTCTTTTGCAGCTGGTATATTTTTAAGTCTCATCCATGTTGTAGCATGTAGTTTCCTTTTAACTGCCAAACACTATTCCACTGTAAGGATATACCACTTAGTTTACTCATTCACAAATTCAAGGACATTTGAATTGTTTTTACTGTTCACCTGTCATGAGTAATGCCACTACAAACATTGGTGTACAAGTCTGTGAATATAATTTTTCATTTCTCTTGGGTATAATATCTAGGAGTGGTATTGCTAGGTATAGTGACTTTAGGATTAACTTTTTGAAAAACTGCCAGACTGCTTTCCAAAGTTGCTGCATCATTGTACATTCCTACCAGTGATGTTTGAGGGTTCCAGTTTCTCCACATCTTTGCCAATAGGTGTTCTTTTCTCCTTTTGATTATAGACATTCTAGTGAGTATAAAGTGGTATTTCATAATCATTTCCCTAATGACTAATGACATTGAGCATCTTTTCACATGTATTTCTCCACCAGTGAAATGTTTACTCAAATCTTTTGTCCACTTTTTTGATTAGATAATGTATCTTCTCATTGTTATAACTATTTTAAAATTTTTTTAAAAAAATTTATTTTTGGCTGTGCTGAATCTTCATTGCTGCATGGGTTTTTCTCTTTTCTCTGCATGGGTTTTTCCGGAGAGCGGGGGCTACTCTCTAGTTGGGTTGCGGTGCATGCGCTTCTCATTGAGGTGGCTTCCCTTGTTGTGGAGCTCGGGCTCTAGGCACCCAGGCTTCCATAGTTGCAGCATGTGGGTTTAGCAGTTGCAGCTCCTGGGCTCTAGAGCACAGGCCCAATAGTTGTGGCACATGGGTTTAGTTGGTCCTCAGCTTGTGGGATCATTTCTGATCGATCCCATGTATGCTGCATTGGCAGGCAGATTCTTTATCACTGAGCCACCAGGGAAGTTCCTAAGTGTTCTTAATTTATTCTGGATACAAGTACTTTGTTGGCTATGTGATTTACATATATTTTCTTCTAGTCTGTGGCTAGTCTTTTTCTTTTCTTAATACATGACTTAAAAGTGTTACATTTCTATTAAGTGTATCAGTTTTTTCTTTTATGGATCATGATTTTGGTGTCATATCTAGGTCATTTTTAACTCAACATCAAAAGATTTTTCCCCTTGGACTTCCCTGGGGAAGTCCTCCTAACGTAGGGGGCCTGGGTTTGAGCCCTGTTCAGGGAACTAGATAGCGCATGCATGTTGTAACAAAGATCCCAAGAGCCACAACTAAGACCCAGCACGGCCAAAATTAAGAATTTTTTTTGAAGATTTTTCTCCTGTTTTTTTCAAGAAATTATGTAGTTTTAGCTCTTTTACATTTTGGCCTATGATTCATTTGAATTAATTTTTATGTACTGTGTGAGGTAAGGATCAAAGTTCTTTTCCCATTACACATGGAAACTTGGGCTTCCAGGTGTAAAGAATCCACCTGCCAATGCAGGAGACGCAAGAAATGTCGGTTTAAGCCCTGGATCTGGAGGATCCCCTGGAGTCAGACATGCAACCCACTCTGGTATTCTTGCCTGGAAAATCCCATGGACAGAGGAGCCTGGTGGGTTACAGTCCGTGGGGTCGCAAAGAGTTGGACACAGTTGAGTGACTGAGTAGCAGCAGCATACATGTATATTCCATTATCTCAGCACTACTTGTGTAAAAAAAAAAATTACTGTCTCCCCATTGAATTGTTTTAGCACATTTGTTGAAAATCAAATGACCATAAATGTTAGAGTTTATTTCTGGGCTGTCTCTTCTGTTCCATTGATCTATACATTTATCCTTGTGCCAATACCACACTGTATTCATTACTGTAGCTTCATAGTAAGTTTTGAAATCAGATAGTGGAAGTCTTGGAGAAGGAAATGGCAACCCATTCCAGTATTCTTGCCTGGAGAATCCCAGGGACAGAGGAGCCTGGTGGGCTGCCGTCTATGGGGTTGCCCAGAGTCGGACACGACTGAAGGGACTTAGCAGCAGCAGCAGTGGAAGTCTGCCTCTTTCACTTTTCTTTTTCAAAACTGCTTTGGATATTCTGGTTCCTTTGCATTTCCACATAAACTTTAGAATCAGACTTGTCAATTCTAAAAAGAGAAAGGACTGTTGGGGTTTTGATAGAGATTATATTGAATCTGTAGATGAATTTGAAGAGAACTGTCATCTTAACAAGTGTTCAATTTATGACAATGGTATATTTATTTACCTGGATCTTTCATTTCTCTCAACAATGTTGTGTAGTTTTCAGTGTATAGGTCTTGAATTACTTTCATTATATTTATTTGTATTTTTCTTATACTCTTGTAAATAAAATTGTTCTCTTTAATTCTCAGATTGTCTGCTGATGGCATATCTAAATATATTTATTTCTGTATGTAGATCTTGGTAGACTTAATTTTTTTAATGCTCCCATTTTGTCATATGTAAAAAGGAAAGACCTGCCTAGCAAGATTTTTTGCAGAATAATATACATAAAATTTCAGCAGAAGGTTAGAAATGAAACTCTCTTCCACACACACATGCACACACACACACCCACACACACACACAATTCAATCACCTAAAATGTGAGGTCACATTATTTTGAGGAAAGTGAAATGATCAGGATGAGGCTGGTACAGAAGACAGGAACCAGTCACCAAGAGCATTATATCTGAATTTGCATAATCAAGGGGTTTTACTGCATTTTCATTAGTGTAGCAAATACATGTTTGTTGATATTTTCTAACATCTGCATGTACTGATTTTGTAATCAGAACAACAAATGCTACTTCTTAAAGAGTAAAAATTAGTAATCCATTAAATTTCATAAAGAGGAAAAGTAAAAGGACACAGAAATTCTTGAATTCAATTTGCTGAGACCAATTAAATACACTTTCAGAAAAAACTGCACAGTACTAGCGCTCAGGCCACAAAGGTTGTTGGTTTTCTGTCGCTCAGTCACATCTGACTCTTTGGGACCCCATGGACTGCAGCACACCTGATCACAAAAGTAAGATGTGTAATTTATGAACTACTGCAAAGTTCAGCAGGCTGAGATAACTCAGTGACTACAGAAGCAGATGCAGGGAAGACAGATTTCCCTGTGGCCTTAATCCATCCTAAATTTTCAAACTTCCAACAACTATGGCAGTTTTATTTTGATTTTTCCCCCTCAAATTTTGACTGTTCAGCTTGTGGGATCTCAGTTCCCCGACCAGGGGCTGAACCCCAGGCCACCACAGTGAAAGCACAGAATCCTAGCCACTAGACTACCACAGAACTCCCTTATTTTGATCTATTTTAATATACTGGGTTTCCATTTAAGATTAAATTTAAATAAAGCATTCATCTTTATAAAGTTCGAAAACTACTGATAAAAGAACAGAGTGAAACTGAGAAGCAGTCTAGTATTATAATACCAAACTGGGGGTTCATCATCCAAGTTTTATTCTTGTCAATACACATGTACAGCAAGAGAAAGGCACAGTCCTAGTTCTCACCTCTCAAATATGATGGCATTTTTAATAGATTAATGTCATTCATACAATAAATACTTGTTAAGTGTAACAAGCACAATATTCAAACACCCATGGTAAAATAATAGCAAGGAACAAGAATAAAGAGCATCTTGGAGATTATCGGCAAAGTCTTCAAAGATGTGACAACCGGCTCTGAGAGCTTAAGTCTCCTGATTGATTAAAAAGAAAACTCACTGGAGGTTATTTAATAAAACTTAAAAGACTTTAAAAAAAAAATAAATAAATAATAAAAAATAAAAAAAAAAATAAAAAGAAAAAAGGCAGGAGCACTATAGAGAGATCTACAAGTTTAAGAGGGCTTCCCAAGAGGCTCAGTGGTAGAGAATCCACCTGCTAGTGAATGCGAGTGGGATTCCACCCCTGGGTTGGGAAGATCCCCACTCCAGTGTTCTTGCCTTTAAAAGCCCAAGGAACAGAGAGGCCTGGCCCGCCACAGTCCGTAGGATCACAAACAGTCGGACACGACTGAGCACGCACACTCGAGCTTAAGAATATGGAATTAACAGTAAATAGCGTCCACTGAATGGACTGCTTACTTTGCTGTGTAGTCACTAAATCCTGTCCCACTCTCTGTGACCCCATGGACAGTAGCCTGCCAGGCTCCTCTGTCTATGGGATTTTCCAGGCAAGAATACTGGAGCGGGTTGCCATGTCCTTTAAGCATACAACCCATGGAAGAGAGACTGCTATCCCCGTAAATAGACGGGGGTAGGCCTAGATCACATAAGTCTTCGTTGGCAGGGCCGTATTTGAAAGTAGGGTTGCCCGATTTCAAAGTTGAGAGCCTGGGTTCAAACAGGTACAACAGAGGTGTGAAGCAATATGATGATGCTGGAAGGGAAGTGGTGAGCAGTGAGGCTCACCTAACTAACGGCAAACCCGGACCAGATGGGTTGGACTGGAAACGGAGGGATCGGTATAAATGCACGATTTCATGTGTCTATAACGATCCCAGCTCCGCCCAATGGAAAGGCCTAGAAGGAATGACACGCCAAGTCTCATTCAATGGTGGGGTTAGCAAGGGTGTCTTCCGTTTCGGCCCTGCCGGCAGGCTTCTATCACATTTCAATGCCCTCTCGCCACAAACCCACTGTCCTTCATCTGCCTGCAGCCGGGAAACCCCCAACTCCTGCGAAGCCTTAGAAAGCAGGGCAAACCGCCTGGCAGCTCGGCTACCATCAGAGCCCACCAAAGGGTCGGGAACTAGACGCCTACAGGAAGAACCCGGAAGGGCGGCGACCCTAAAGGAGGAGCAGGCACGGGAGCCGGACTGGCGCCGTAGGCGGGGTCTTGGGCTCCTTTTTTTCTTTTTTTTTTCCCTTTTTTTCTTATTGGAGTTCACCACTGCCAGTCTCGGCCTCCTTCCTCCCGTCCCCGCCTCTTCCGTGCAGGCAGTTTGTTAGGTGGCGGGTGGGACCAGGCGGTCACTTCCGGCTGGGGGAAAAAAAGTTAGACCGAAGGCGGGCCGGGAAGAGGGAGGAGGAGGAAGAGGAACGAGACGGACGGTGGGTGCTGTAGGTTGTTCGGCAGCGGCTCCGGCTCCGGCTCTCTTCCGGGAGGACGATGGACAGCCAGGGCAGGAAGGTGGTAGTGTGCGACAACGGCACCGGGGTAAGCGCTCGGCGGGGAGGCTGCAGCGGCCCCGGGCCGGGGCGCGGATGTGCTGGGGGCGCGCGGGCCTAAAGCGCCCGGGGCTGCACCCCTGGGCCCTCTGCCGCCCGGGCCAAGGGGCGCTGGCCCGCGCTTTCCGCCCGCGTGGGTGTGGGGCTCGAGCGGGCTGGACCACTCTAAGTAGCCCCGAGCCGGGCACTCCAGCAACTCCGGGTCAGGACGGTGGGCGAGGCCGGCGATGGATGGGGTTCTCACCTGCTACCGGGCCGGGGCCGGCCCAGCGCTCTGGCCGCAGGAATTTGGCTAGAGGGCTGGAGGGGTAAAAGGCTGGGCTTGTAAGTTGCGAAAGGGCTTCACTCTCCAGGGTCGACGGTGTGTAAAAAGGAAAAAGATCTAGAGGCCTTCCTCTTCCTGTAGAGTTGAAGATGCGGAACAGGAGGCAGGAAACGGGTTTAAAGAAAAAAGGGAAGTGCTGTCATGCAATGAACCTCAGTCCTTTCGCAGTGTTTGAAGCTTTTGTTGTTTTGTTTCTTGTTTTCTGAGAGGAGGGAAGGCCAGATCGGCTGTGCATCATTTGCTTTTTGTTCTCCGTGCTGGAAATTTGGCCCAGGTGCAGCCCCGCAGAGACCAGTATGTTTCCGTGCTTGATCTTCATCCATTAAGGCCCAAGTGTTAATTCCACTAACCTTAGGGAAGTTAACCAGTTTGGGTACCCCTCCTCATTTTTTTCCTTATTGGCAGACTACAGTTAATGCTAGTATTTTAAGATCCTAAGAATGCAAATAACTGTAAAAATCAGAGTAAAACACTGATTCAGACATTATTTGAAAGTTGTTTCAGTCGCCCCTCCCCCCAATTAAAAAAATGTATTTTAGGCAGCGAAGTCAGCAAGTTAGAATACAGAACTGTTACTTATTTTGGGTGAGTTCTGTAGTGATCACTTCCCCCTGCGTTACAGCAATTTCTAGCCATTTTGAAGCTGCAGTATTTTGTCACTTTATCCCCTTCCTTCCATAAATGTAATATATGAATTAAAATAGATTTTGTATGAACTTCAAGTCACTTTGGAAACTGGATAGTTGAGGGGGAAAAAAGAGCTGATATTCACTGCCATAATACTGCCCTTGATTGAATTTTTACAAGCAATGATTATACTAGCTTTATCTGAACTAAGTTGAAAATGGATGAGAGTAAGAAGAGTGTTATCATTTAATGCGGCGTTCATACAAAACAGCATAGTACTTAAAAAGAGGCAGGTTCATCACTACAGAAACATTTAAAAATTTTATTTCCATTTATGTGCATGTCCTTTATTAAAGTTATTTATGTGTCCACAAATGTGTATGTGTATGTGAAAGTTTTGAAGAGATTTCTGAGAAATTTAAGTTCATAGTGGTTACCTGTGAGACTAGGGATAAGAATGAGGTCAGGTGGGAAGGAATTCATGACTCAATTGTTGAGAAAATGTTCTTTGTTTTTTAACAAACCATGTAATGTTAAACTGTCTTTAAATGAAATTGTAAGTGTGTTCCTTTTACAGTTAAAACTCAGTTTAAAGGTGCTTTTTTAAAAAAAAATTGGCCTAATTCCCCCCTGTAGTCTCAAATTGACATCTAAATAAATGTAAATCTTTAAAAAACTGATAATTATTTTTTGTGACTATGCCAGTTTTTTGTTTTTTTTAAGAAATTGAAGTCAGTTATATTTTAATGGATTCCTCCTCTTTGAAGGACAGTGAAACCAGCTTTTGTAGTGTATGTTTTTTCATAATATTTAATTAAAAAAATTTTTTTTTCTTTTTCTTAAACTTTTTTTTTTTTTGGCCATGTGGCATGTGGGAATCTTAGTTCTCTGGCCAGGGATGGAACCCACGCCTGCTATAGTGGAAGCACTGGACTGACAGGGAAGTCCCATAATTAGTTTTATGTTACTGTTTCACTAGCTTGTTAGAAAACTCATTGTGTATTTGATTAGCCTTATGCCGAATCTATAATTTTAAGAACCTTGTTAAGACAAAAGATAAGTTACTATGACCTAAGTAGAAAAGTGTAGTTAATTCAAACAAAACCTTGTGTAATATTTGGCATTGTATTTCTAATTAGTTTAAATATCCAGATTTTCTATAGGACATGATTGACTTCGTGAAGAAATGTCATGAAGAAAGCTCTGATGTAGTATGTAGTCAAGAATGCTATGCTATTTCTGAAAATTTAGAAAATTAGGAGCCACTTAGAGTCTGTATTTCTTATACTTCATAGTCCTCATGATTTTATTTAGGTACCTGAAGGTCTAATGATTCCTCTATGATAAAGGAGATAACTAAAATTTAATTTCTAAAAATTTATGAGAGTAGTTGTTACTCTAAAGCAACTTGCCACTTAGCACATTTTAGGTTTTAAAATTATAGGCCATTTGAGAAGTTGGTTATTTTTTTTTTAAGCCTCTCTGGCAGGCCCTAAATTGAAAGCCCTAAGGGTAGATGAGTTCTGATCACATGCCAGGCTGTGGTCCCGCTTCTCAACCTCTCCAGCTCCCAAGCCGACCAGTGCCTCTGTAGGGCCTCCTAGAGGAGGAAAGCTCATCCGATTCCAATACCGTATGCACTTCATCCTCATAACCATCCAAACCTAAAATGGAGCCTGTGTAAACCGCCACCTAAAATAAAGCTGCGAAAAGTGGCCAGATAGGTGAAGATGTGGAGATCTGCTTCGGTTTAGGTGCCTTTCAAGGGTTGGGCCCAGGGCCCCTGAAATTGTGTATTCTTTTGCCAAACTTGGGTGATTTCATCAACATTGAGTTAGTTTACCAACAGTGAAGACTTCACTCCTTCTCACAGCAGAGTGCCTGCTGTGTGACTGGTATAATTTTTAGAGTCCAGTGATACAAAGTAGCTTGTAGTGTTAAGATAGTTACACTTTTTTTTTTTATTGTACTTTTACAATTTACATTTATAGTTGATTACAGCTTGGTTTATCAGGCTTAAACAAATTTATGTGTTGGATTTAGGAGTGTTTGAAGTAGAACCAAGTCAAAAGTAGATTTGGTTTAACCCTAGAAAATGCTTTGGAATAAACAGAATAAATATTTTGGTGGTCTAAGATCAGAGTAATTACTATGCAATTAAATCATTATATCTGTGCCATTTGTTTAAAATAATAAAGGAAAAATACAAATTAAATAAGCCCAAATGAAGCTTTATAAATCCCAGTTTGTTTTTTGAGGGGAGAAAGACACCTTTAGAGCAAATGTATGTGGGCTTTTTTTTTTTTCTTGAAAGAAAATTATATTGTTCATGTTCTTACCATTTGATGACTCAGTGGGAAGTAAGGGAGCCTGTTTAAACCACAGTGCTATGAAGAGGAAACTATATATGGTAAAGTCTATTTCTTAAACACAGCCTTATTGCACACAGTGAGAGAACTAAGTCACCAAGTCTTAAAATGATTGAAGTCGGGGAAGGTATTTCAAGAATTAAAGTTATGCCAAACAAGTAGTTTAGAAAAGAATATTTTCTTTGTATTTTATTACATTATGGTTTAGATCTTTAAAAAAAATTTTTGGCTTTTTTGCAAGAAAGGAAATGCAAGGTTGTCTGTTGGTTATATATTACCGAGAAATAGATCATTGTAATTATATTCTTGTTTATTTTAACTGCTAATGCGTTGACATTTGAAATAATGTGATGTAGTGCAGCTATTGCCATTTTGACCAAACACTAGTTCCTTGTAGGAATGCTAGCATTGGATTACTGTGGCAGCATCTACTTCCAATAAGTTAACTGCTTAATCAGAGTAAATAATTTCATTAATTAGTGATTGCTATCTTTAATTTGAACTAAAAGCCAACTTTCCATTTTTTAAACAATTTTTTAAAATATTTATTTTAATTAATGTATTTATTTGGTGGCACCACGTTAGTTATGGCACATGGGATCTTTAGTTGTGGCATGTGGGATATAGTTCCCTGATCCCTGGTCTCCCTGCATTGGGAATTCGGAGTCTTAGCCACTGGGCCTCCAAAGACGTTCCTCCATCTTTTAATAAAGCACAGGATTAGTAGTTCAGAGTTATTTTTATAGTTTTAGGAATTCTTAATTTTTGTCTTCTTACCTTAGGCACTTGGCAAATATGTTGTCCTGCGAAATATGCTAGAACAAGAATTTTACCTCCCCAGCCTCCTGACTGCCTGGGGGTGAGGATGGGACGGACATGACTTGACTTAGGCTCCATCCCAGGCTCCTCCTCCCATCTTCACCTAGTGTTAAGATTTCTCAATTAAACCATTGGTTTACATTTAATATGCTGAAGTTGCCTTTACAAATGTGTAGATTGTTTTTTTCATTCATTTTATAATTTTCTTTAAGAACATTTATACCCATGGACACTTTTGACCCACCTAGTGTGTTTATCTGCTCATCATGTCACTACATAAAAATTTAATGTGTACATTGTATTTGCTACCTATATTTGGAATATATGTATAAATTATGACTAAAGCTGATACTTGTCTGGTGGTCATGACAGGTTTTATTTATGTAGAAATTTAAATATAGTGGCATAATGAGAAGAGATTCTCTGGTCTTACATCTGATTTCAGTTCACGGCAAGTGAGCTGGCTTTTGGCTTAAGGACTAGAGAGTTTGATTTAGAAGAGACGAATGTGCGAGGTTTTTTCCTTTTAATCTGAATAGACTAGAAAATACTAAGTAGTATTCTTTTCCTCTGCTGCAGTTGTCACTCTTAACTCTTTCTGGGTCAGATTGATCAATTATTTGGGAAGATATTGTGGAAAAATGACCTAACACTTCTGAATTCTGTTAAACACTTTTTTTTTAGGGTGGGAAGTATATTGTTCTTTACTATCAACCACTATTCCGGCAGAGGTAGGTCTGAGCAAGCAGGATATCTATTGCATATGCCATCATATATCACACTAACTTCTCAGCCTTGGAAGGTAATCCAGAAAGAATTGTATCATAGTTTTAGGTTTTAGAAAACCTAGGTTCGGTGGCAATCTGAGCAGGACTAGGTTTTGTGGGTTTGGAAGAAAACCTATTTGAATGGTGTATTTTATGTAAATTCTAAAATGTGAACTTGAATGAGGGGATATGAATTCAGGTGGTATTAGAAATGTGCAATTTTTAAATTTTAGACAAGATTTTTTTCAGACTAGTAGCTTCAGTCTGCTGAAGACAAGATTTTAACATATTTTTTTAAAGCACTATTTTTAAAAGACTTGCAGTTATGCATGGCAGAATGTTCTAGGCTATTTATAATTAAATGTGGTTCATCAACATCATTTCCAACAAGGTTGTCTTTGAAATAGAAAAATTTTGTATTTTAGAGAGTTAGAAGTCATTGAGTTTCAGGTTGTTGCTAGCTTTTACCACCATCAAACAAAACAGTTCCTGGTATGTAACAGCTTTCTGTCCACTTTTGTGTTATTTCTGTCATATGTCACATGCAGGTATTGTTTTTCTCCTTAATTCTTCTAAGAGAATGTGGTGCCAAATCCATGGAACAATAGATTGTCTCAATATTGAACATATTCTCTCTATTAAAATAATCATAGTATTGTACTCTTGAGTCAGCAGCAAAACTTTTCATTTTTATTGATCAGTTAAATAATATGTACCTAGTATGTGTCAGACGCTGTTCTGGGTGCTTGGGATTCATCAGACACAAAAGTGTTTGCACAGTGTACTGTACATTGCAGAAAATCTTGTTAAGGGAATGGTAGAGGTTGATGACAGCTCCTCTCTTATATAGCTTCTTCCTCCCACCCTGAACTTTTTTAACTGCCTTTTCCTTGTAATGGCTGCTCTTAAAAATAAGGCTAAACAGACTGTATTATTGATGTAAGCATTAAAAACCCTTGGTTCTATTTTCAGTTTTACTGTAGTCGTTAAATCTCCTAGTGTATCTGTTTCTTATTCATAAAGTGGAAGTATTATTAGAATCAATGCTACATCCTCATTGGCGAAGTACACTATCTGAATATGAACTTATGTCACCTGGTATTACTAAATGTTTCTCTAAATATAAAAATGTAAATAGCCAGAAATGCCTAATAAATGTTTAACTTGATGCTAGTCCAGATGCCATTTGATTTTCCCATTTTGGAAAATGGTGTTACTTAAGTGAATTGCCAGACATGAATGAAAGCCTGCTTTCGTTCTGTTCATTTTCTGACATTTCTTTTAAAAATCCTTAGCATTCATTGAATGAATTTGTCCCTTCTTTGCTGTGCGTCAGGGCAGCAGGTTCCAGCATGCACTGCGCAGCTTAGCTCCCTTGAGGCTTTCCCTCAGAAAGAGTTAACCAGTCAAGAAATGGGAACTCCAGTAGTTGTGCCATGAAGGAGACAAATGGAGGATATGATAGACGGGTGATTACTTTGGGTAATTTCAAAGCACCAAAAGTTTAGAATATTATATAAATGCAAAGCAGTACTTTTCAGATACAGTTTTTAAATGGATAATAGTGTAAATACTTTGACACTAACCCACTTTTACTGTTCTTTTCCAGTTTGTGAAGTGTGGATATGCAGGCTCTAATTTTCCAGAACATATCTTCCCAGCTTTGGTTGGAAGACCTATTATCAGATCGACCACCAAAGTGGGAAACATTGAAATCAAGGTAATATTTTATTTATTGATAGACGAGGAGCAAAACCTACTGAAGTGTTCTTTGAATTAAGTAGTTTTAAAATGTGATGCCTTGAAAAGCAAAGGAGGAGGGCCGAATTTCTTATATTTAAAATTTTTATCAACACGTGAAGAAAGGCAGAGAAACTGAAAGTAATTTCGTCTGACTTTAAGTATAGCTTAATGCCATTACTCTCTGAATACAATAAAAATAAGATTTTTATGTTGATGTGAATGCTGTATTAGTGACTTAAAGTCCTATAATATAATTTTAAAAGAAATCAGCCTGGTATTTTTATGTCTTTCAATTCCATATATTTGTCATTCAGTGTTAGTGTCTCTTTGGGAGCTGAAACTCCTCCTTCCATGTTCTCATGGCCTGATACCCCTACATTTTTATATAGCTAGTCAGGAAAAATAGAATGTGCATCTTATTGGTTCCTTTTTTCACCAGTATCATAACTGATTTCCACAGTGTGCAGAAGGAAGCTGTGCAAGTCGATTTGATTTGCATCATTTATCTTAGGACAAGGAGAAGGGAGGGAATGTTGTCAGTGCCTACGTACCGTCCTTAACATGAGATTGGACCTTAATAGATTTTTGTCTTCTGTTAGAGGAGGTGGAAATCAAAAGGGAGTTACAATATTTTAGAAGGAAAAAAAAAGAACAATCCAAAGTCATTGGTTACCACTTGACTTAAAATCCTCAGATAGCATAGGGATCAGGTTAGTTTATACGAAATGTAGTAGAATTTTGAAGCCGTTTTAGGAATCATTTGTGAACAGACTAGCGTCGTTGGTCCTGTCTGGACGGTCCTTGACAAGACTTCAGAGAGTTTGTTAGGTTGTAAGTTAAGGTACCCATCTTTGCGACGTTTGTTTGAGGTGTCTAGAAAGCTGGTAATAGATAGTAGACATTTGCTGCTTAAGAGCTCTCTGCTGTTGCAACTAGAGGATTGAGTTACAGGATGAATAAAAATACAAACTGAAACTTAGGTTCTGTGATAATTTTTTTAAAGACTTAAAAGAGTGAATGATTCTGGCCTCTGTTCTATTACAATCAGAAGGGATACTCAATATGAGAGTTTTTTGGTTTGGGTCTTTTTTTTTTTTTTTTAGGGTCTTTTGGAAATTTTACAGAATCCCATATTCTCTTTTTGTTAACTCCTTTCGTTCTGATTGAATTCCATCTTAAATGAACTTCAGCGTGAAGTTTAGCTAGTAATAGTGATAAGGATAAAGTTTTTTTTTTAATAATGTTGAAAGTCACTTTTATTCAGTATCAGCCTTTTAAAGAAGAATGGCTTTTTAATATACTTTATGGATAACATTTTTGAGGTATTAAACTACATCACATATAGCTGTTTTTCTTGTCCAGCATAGTCACGTATAATTACCTATATTTTCACTCCCACTTTTCTTGATTTTAAGGGCAAGTGATAGAAATGAGACTAGATGATACTCAAGACATTTTTGCTAAGGAATTCCCCAGTAGCATTTGCTTGTATGGTTTGTCAGTTGGTTTACTTCTGTTCAATCTGCTTAATCTTTTTAAGTCTTTAAAGTTAATTTGTTCTTCCAGTAGAAAACAGTGAAAGAAAAGAGAACTGTGTCAAATTTAACTTGACTACTAGAGCTTGGAAAATCACTCTAAACACCCTTTACCTACTCAGCTAGACCTTTTCTGCTGTTTATTTTCCTTAATTAAGGTTCTTAAATCCAGTAACAAATGAAAGAAATTTGACTTTTTTGGAATACCTATGCCTAGTGGATTGATTTATAGTTTTTGTGTCTTGTTACCTAAAATGTGGTAGACTGAAAATTGGAAATTTAAATTGTTTAATGAGTTAACTTTCATTCAGGAGTAATAACTGTCCATGTTAATTTGGCCCTAATTATTAACTCCGTAAACTATAGTAGTACTGCATCTGCCTCAACCTAATTTGTCTCTATTGCTTGTATGTTTAAAAATTTCAGTGAGGATTTTATTTAGGCCTTTTCTGACTCTTACTTCTACCTTCTCTCTCTTCACCTTTCTTGACCTGTTGAAGTAGAATAACAAAAAGATGGTAAGTGAGGTTACACACATGCTCTCTGTTTGTTTTCCACTTTTGCTTGGTGGGACAGTAGTTGTTGTTTTGTGTCCCTTTAGTATTGGGGAGGGGGGTGATTCCATATTTTAATTTCTAAGTACTTTGCTTTTTAACCTTTTCCATTGCTTCAATTTGGTAGCAACTAATTAAGTCCTATACTCTCCTGATTGCATACAATGGACCAAACCAGAACTAATTACTAACATAGTTTTGAATTGTTTTCCTTGTGTTTTTTGTGGATGAATGTTACGATTAAAGTGGAATGTAATGTGCATTATGTTAGAAACCAAGTGGCTTTCTTTAGGATATGTGTGATCCAGAAAAGTGGGGTGAAGTTGTTGCATTTGGATCAATTCACTTTACTGACCACTGTTAAATTGGACATTGCCTGTCATAGCCTGTATATGTATTTATTTGCATCTGGTACAGTATCATATGTGTATTTAATAAACTAGGTAAGATTGTAATGTGCAAATGAACTATAAATAGTAAAGGAGAGGAAAAGAGATTGATTTGTTGCCTGTATTATCCTTATTTATGAGCAGATTTTACATTTTCTGATTATAAATAAGAAAAAGGTAGAAGTCTTGTAACACTTTTCCATTGACAGTGGATTTTCCCTCTAAATAAATACCATTGTGCCTTTTTCATTTGAACTAGAACTAGACACATCCCGGCAATTGAGTCTTATTATATTTTTCTGTGATAGTCTTAAGTTTTTCTACAGTAGATCTTCTCAAGTTTGTTTTTAATATTATTTGTAAGTAACTTTGACAGAGATAAATATCATGCCTTTCTAGTGATAAGTATTTTAGCTAGTAACAGTAACTAGTTAAATCAGTGGCAAGTTTTCTTTTGAATAAACAAAAAACATGGAAAACTGGAAATTACTATATTCTAAATTAAAGATCATGCATTTGTCTTAAAATCCTAAGGAGACTAAGAAAAGAGAGTACTTGCAGAGAACTCTTCAATGTTTTTTATGAAATTTCTTTCTAATAAAATTGTGGTTTTAGAGTATATTTGCTCTAATTTCCAATTTGAGATGACATTGTTCAGAATGATTCTTGGTGTATCTAATTTACACTGCTTGCTTTTCATAAAATATAAATGCCTTTAAAACAGCATCTTAGCCAGCTACTGTTAACTTTTCATTTTTTCAGATAATAGGTGATGGTTTAGGCTTGAGGTCCAGTGATGAGGTGGGTGGTAAAAAAATAAATAAATAAAAAACCAAGGCCTGGTCTGACCACTTGTAATTTTGATCTTGGAGATGAAGGCAAGTTCCATAAAACTTAGCATTTTGAAGTTTTGGAAGTTGAAATGTTCTAGAGAAAACTATGTTTTAGGATTTTTTGAAATAAAATTTTAGATAAATTTTTGAATTAGGTAGCTCGAGTTACTCAAGAATGTTTCCACTAATTTGACAAGTTAATACTGGTTTTCTTCCATTTTAAATGTCCTCTTTGTTCAGAGGGATGGTAAGATACTCGATGCCGATGTTTCTTTCAGTTAATTCTTCATAGTATGTGTGCCCTAGAGGTAGACACATGACACTTTAATTTTGAGTTGGTATTCGATCCGACATATGTAGGCCCCTGTTCTTGCATGGAATAAGAACTAAATAATCAGATGTAATTAGACCAGATTTATACTGAATTCGTTGAAATACAGTTGTGAATATGTACCAGTGATATAAACCATCTTAATTATCTAATCTGTTATTACCTTGTATAACACAAAGAAAGATACATTCCAGAAAAAAGTAACTAACATTATATATTAAATTATATTGATGACCAGAAGTCATATGGGTATTTGGAGATATAGATTCCTCCCCCTGACATTTTATTATGAAGTATTTGGAATACACAGCAAAGTTAAAGGAATTTTATCGTGAAACCCATACATCCATCACCTAGATTCTGACACTAATGTTTACTATGCTGATACATCACATATCTATCTTTTTATCCATCTGTCAGTGTATCTTGTCTTTCAGTGTATTTGAAATTAACAGTATTCTTCTCCCTAAGTAATTCAACAAATGCATGTCATTTACTAGAGTTCTCTAATATAAGATTTTTAGTTTTTCATTTTTGTATCAGATAATTCTAAATAGTTAATATTTAAGAAGTTTGAGTATTAAGGCACGGTACCTTAATTTTATATGAAATTTAGTTGCAACAGAAACATTTTAGTGAATATTTCTAGCATCTGCTTTAACTTTGTTTTTCCTTTTTGTTGCTTTCAGTGGATTTTCCAGTGGGGGGGTTTTTTTTTTTTTTTTTGGTTGGTGTTGTCTTTAAATAGAGTCCTTACCCTGGTTTCTTTCTTATCTCTTTTTTTTTTAAATCATTATTTTAAAAAATTTTAAAGTCATATATTTATTTAAACTGCTGTTTTAAAACATCTTAAGATCTTACAGCAAATAGTAGCTATTTTTGATACTAGGATTTTTTTTTTAATTCATCAGTATATGTTTAAATCAGGATTATTTAGTATTTTGACTAGCCAATTTTTAAAGTAAGTTTTAACTCTGAGACATCATTAGCCCTATACACATAAAATTTGACTTTTGAAATGTGGGTCATCTTAAGTATGCGCTCGTTGGAGACAAGACTTGTGAGTATTCTGCTTCCTGGGTGATAGCATAGTTTTCCAGTATTATACTTAAGATTGGAAATGTTGCTTATGAGATAGTTTTAAAGAAGAATTTCTTCTCTGCATCTTAATTTTTTGTTTCTACAAATTATCTTTCATCTTGGTGAGGCACATATTGAAGCTTAATTTCAGTTTTAATTGAAGCATATCTAGGTAGATGTTTGTGAAACTTACAAGTTTGTGGTGTGTATATCCATTATTACAGTATAATCAAAATCATTTTATTTTTTGCTTCTCATTATGCTGTATAGTACTACACTTATCATTTTGATATTTAGTACAAAGAAATGTGCTGCATGCATTGAGCATTTTTCTACAAGTTTTTTTTCCCCTGATGTGCTATCTCACATATCACAGGCCTTATTTTTTGAACATTTGAGCAAAAGAAAGAGATGAAACCTCATACAAACCCCTCCAAAATATGAAAATGTGGGGTTTATTTGTGCTAATGCTCTTCTTTTGGAAACATATTTATTAAAGGTAAGGTCAATTTATTGATTTAAACCAACATTGTACATAAAAACTTAACTATTCATGATTAAGATTTGTGAGACATTGTTCATGAAAGGAAAGATCTTTTTAACTTGTGGAATGAAGAAATTTATCTGAAAGTGCCAGAAATATTAAAATTAATTATTCCCCAGTTTTCCAAAATATGAGAGGATAATTTTCTGATGGTATTTTATGCAAAAATTTGGTCTAAAGCTTTGATATTATAATTTTCTAGGATCTTATGGTTGGTGATGAGGCAAGTGAATTACGCTCGATGTTAGAAGTTAATTACCCTATGGAAAATGGCATAGTGCGAAATTGGGATGACATGAAACACCTATGGGACTACACATTTGGACCAGAAAAACTTAACATAGATACCAGGAACTGTAAAATTTTACTCACAGAACCTCCTATGAACCCAACCAAAAACAGAGAGAAGATTGTAGAGGTAAGTTTTTAGATGGCTTGTGCATATATGTGTTTCCGTGATGTGATATTAAAGCAGAATTTTTTGTTTTATCTTACCTCTGTTGAGAATAAAGGAAATAAGAATAATTGTTACTTTCTCCCAGATCCTGTTTATTGAGCACCTAAGTATATGTTAGTCATTAGAAGTAGAATATACCAGTAAACAAAGTCAAAATCCTGCTGCTATGAAATTTACCATCTAGCAGGGGAAAATAGACCAAAAAAAGTGAGTTAATTGAATGGTTTATTAGAAGATTCTAGATGCTAAAGGAGGGGTGGGAAAGAGTAAGGGAGATCAGGCATGTAGGAAGGCTGCATTTTTCATAGGTGTGGTAGTACATGTCTGTAGCGTGATATTTAAACAGAGGGAGTTAGCCAGTAACTAACTGGGGGAAAAGCATTCCAGGCAAAGGGAGTAACCAGTGTAAAGGTCTTGAAATGGGAGCAAGCGTGCATATTAGTCGGCAAGGAAGCCAGTGTGGGAGAGCAGCGGGAGAGGAGGGGGGAGAAATACTGGGGCTGAATCATCTAGGTCCCTGTAGGCTCTTATAGGAGCTTAGATCTAAACTCCGAGTGAAGTGTAGGGCTGTTACAGGGAAGAGCTATTGCAGATTGAGGTTTCTGTGGCTGCTGTGTTGAATGTAGAACATAAGGAGGCAAGGGCAGAAGAAAGACAAGTTTGGAGACTTTTTCAGTTATCTAGACACCAGATAATGGTTAGGATTAGGGGTAATAGCAGAGAGGGTAATGAGAAGTGGCCAGATTGTGGCTCTGTTTTGAAGGTAGGACCAAAAATATATCCTGATTTCTTAAATACATGTGGTAGAGGGGTAACACTGAAAGTTTCACTGGAGCAAAGACTGAGAGTAGGACAGGATTTGGGAGGGAAATGAATCAGGAGTTCAGTTTTGGACATGTTAGGTTTTCTTTAGACATCCAAGCAAAAATGGTTACATATATAAGGTCAAGTTCAGGAGAAAAGTCTGAGACTGGAGGTATAAAGTTGGGAGTCACGAGGATATAGATAATATAGGTAACCAAAGAAGTGATAGCAGACAGTGGGGAGAATGCTGAGGGCCAGGGAGATGGGAGGGCTTGGGAAAGGAGGTGGAAACAGTAATGAGGTAGGCAGTTAAAGAAAGCAAAAAGTCTACATTCTTAATACTTTAGATAGGTAACTTTTCAACAGTTACCTTTAATTTGTTATATATGAGGTAGAAAATTTTAATTAATTTGTATTTTATCAGCTTTCTAGATACTGCTTGATGTAAGTAAATATTTTGTTTTACTCATTGACTCTGTTGAGATGTGGATGCAAATTGTAGAAGAGATTTAAAATTTTTGTATTTTCAAATTTTGAGACCGTGGTTTTAGCTACAGAATCATATCATTTCTTATGGTTCATATTTTTATTTACTTTTTTTCTCCTAGCTACCCCTGAAACTATGAAAAATGGGCTTTATTGTATTTATATTTTAATTGTGCTTTATACTTTCTAAATGATTTATAGTCAGTAATAGTTTGTAATGGATAAGTGGTCATTTATAATTGCTCTTTATTTTTAGCAATGCATTGGAAACAGAGTGCAGAGATATTTTTGTAATATCAAGAGGTTACCAGACAAGGAAACCCCTTTCAAAAAAATAATATAGTAGCAGAATGGAAACCAAGTTTTCTTTCAAGTGAAAATTCAGGGAGATGGCATTTGCTATTTAGTGGATAACATCATATCTGATCTCCACTAACTAACTATTTGACTAGGACAGATTTTTTTTTAATCCGCAGAAGTGGCAAGAATTAGTCTCACCATACACTCTTAGGTCTCTTCTTTGTTTAATGCTCTTTTTTACTTGTAAATACAAATTTGACTATGACTGATAGTGCCCCATTTTAATCTCATTCAGAAAGTTGTTTCTGAACTACAAATACTTCTTAATGATCTTATGAATAAAAACAAATTTTGACGGACTGTCAAGTTGATAAATGCAAATGACCTTTGAACAACACAAGGTTAAGGGTGCCAATCCCCCTCAGTCAAAATTTGTGTAAAACTTTATAATTTGCTCTCTGTATCCTAGGTTCTGCATCCCTGGATTCAGCTGATCTCGGATCATGTAATGTTGTAGTATTTATTTATTGAAAAAAATCTGCAATTGAATGAACCTGCACAATTCAGAACGACCTGTGTTTTTCAAGGGTCAGCTGTAGGGCATCTCTTCCATTTTCATCCCTGTAGCAGGGGGTAAAGGATGATGGAATAGAGTACTAGTCAGAAAATTTAGGTGCTTAATTGATGAGTTTGTGTTTCAGAGTTGTAAAATTTTTTTATTTATTTATTAGGATTAAAAAATTTTTTTAAATTTAGTTTTATTGAAGTATGATTGATTTACAGTGCTGTGTTAAGTTTCAGGCATACAGCATAGTGGTTTAGAGGGTTTTTTGTTTTGTTTTGGCTATGGCATGTGGGATCTTGGTTCCCTGACCAGGGATTGTGTCCCCAGCAGTGGAAACACAGAGTTTTAACCACTGGACCACTGTGGAATTCCCCTGAGTTGTAAAAATTCAAATTGTATATAATTCTCATTGTGGTCAGTTGTAAAATTTCTAAATATCAGATATTCATAGTGGTAGTCTGCACTGCCAGTCAGTGAATGCTAACTGTGGATGACAGAGAAAATCCTACGGAATATTCCCGGCCAACCTGCGATACAGACAATGAGCAGCATTGTGAGCAGAGAGGAGGTGAAGGAGCTCCTCCTCCCTGCAGTGGACCTCAGCACACGTGGAGCGCAGCCTTGCCCCATTGGGGAGCGCAGACTCAGCAGTTGAGCAGCTTCTGGATCTGCCTGCTTTCAAGAATTGTTTAGTTTTGTTTCTCTGCCATACCGTTTATTACCTGAAGGTAGCGCCACAGTCTTCCTTGGCCCAGGTTGAGGGAAACGGATGGGAACATTGGCAGTTAAGTAGTTTGTATAGTTTGTCTTTAAAAGACATTTCCCTTAAGGGACATGAGTTGAGAAAGTCTTGTTCAAAAACAGAACACTTTCTTTCACTCTAATCTGCCATTAGCTAAAAACTCTCAGAAATCTGCTTTGTAGCATTTAAGAAATGCTTGGGGACTCAATGTGTATTAAAAAAAAAAACCCATCCTCAAAATTGGGGCTCTCTGACAGCAGGACTTTAATAGAGGCAAGAAACAGCTGAAGAGAATGGAAGATTCTTTTGGGTCCTTTGATTCTATTTTCATCAGCTAATCCACTCTGGCCATCAGGATAGAGTATATTAATATATATATATATTACATTATATATATAATGTAATTTCTAAATACTAATGTTTTCCCTTTCCTTTTACACTTTCAGGTAATGTTTGAAACTTACCAGTTTTCTGGTGTGTATGTAGCCATCCAGGCAGTTCTGACTTTGTATGCTCAAGGTGGGTGAAGCTTAACTTTCAGTTAATTAATAATTATTATATTATATATATTATATATTATATATAATATTAATTGTATGTGATTTAATTAATTTATATTAATTAACAAATTTAATTTATTAAGTCTATTTTATTAAATTAATTATATAAATATTTATATAAATTATATAATATACATTTAATATAATATATAATATACAAAATATAAATATATAAATAATTAAATATAATTATATAATATATAATAATATATTAATAATTGCTGAATCATTAATTCAGCAAACATTTGTTCAGTTCATTTCAGTTGCTCAGTAGTGTTTGACTCTTTGCGACCCCATGAACTGCAGCATGCCAGGCCTACCTCCCTATTTGTTACATGTATTTTATGTCGGAGGAATTTGATTTCTCGGGAAGTTTTAAGTCCCAGAAAGCGCAGTTTTATATATTTATATTTATTCAAATATTCCACAGTTTGTCAAATAAAATATACACATTTTTGTTCTCTTTACTAAACAATGAAGGACTTAAGAAGAAACTTCTCAGTTTTTTATAAGTAGGAAGTTCCTTCTTTTAGGCTATTTAAAGTAAGAAAATTTTTGAAGGGAAGAATGAACATGGAATCTGTCCTCAGAATTGTCAAAAGAGTTTTAAAAAGCCAGAAAGGTTCATATAAAATTATGTTTGTCAAATACATAATAGATTAAATATAAAGGAAAAGGCAGACATTTGAGAGTACCTTCCCAACTTTTGAGACTGAGTTAATGGAGGGGACCTACTTTTACTTTGTTTTCTTGATACTGCCATTAGTAACTGCCTCTGTATCTACTGGGAATAAAATAGTAGCTATGTAGGGAGAACTCTGTATCCTGATGGTATTATGGAGAACTTAAGAGACCATCAGATACATGCACAGAGCCTGTTGGGCACTTAAAATGTAAAGATCCCTCAAGAAGTTAGACTCTTCATGGGGAAAAGATACAGAAATTGATTTAGCATGTCAGAGAAGGTTTCTGAAGAAGGTGACAACTAAAGGTCAAGCCTTAGTACTTAAGCGGTATATGACAGTACGGTCGACCCTTGAACAGTGCTGATTTGAACTGTATGACTCCATTTATACGTGGATATTTTTCAGTAGTAAATACTACAGTACTACATGGTCCATAGTCGGTTGAATCGGGATGCAAAGGGCCAGCTGTAAGTTATATGCAGGTTAACCCCCACATTGTTCAAGGGTCAGTTGTGTTAGGAAACAAATTTTAATGTTATGTTGATCCATCTGATTCTACACGTGAATGAGTAAAAATCACATTGTCAAAATACGTGCTAGGTTTTAAAACTGTCTTTACTACTTCATGTAGATATTAAGAAGATACTTGGGGAGAATTAAACTTTTAAAGAGGCTCTATTCATTCACCAAGTGTGGCATGAGCTTGGCGTTCTGTTTAGGACAGAGGATACAGAAGTGAGTCAGCTACTCAATAAGCTACATATGGTCTCCTTGCCCTTTAGTCCATTATAGGCAGGCTCTGAGGAACTAGTGCTTGTCTGCATCTAGGAAATTGTGTTTCATTTTTTGAAAGTAAATTTCAGAATTTATTTTAGAAAATACTTTTTTAAAATAGACATTGAAAATTTTGAATCTAAACTTTGAAACTGGTGATTCCATTTAGGGGGTGGAGATGGGACACCTCTGCTAAAATGGATTTTAACTTTAATTGTACTTGAATAAAACTGACCTTAACAGATATTTCTAGCAATATTCATAAATTTATTTCTTCCAAGAAGAAGATATCCTCTCTTAACTCCTGATATTTAGCTGCATTTGTTTAAACATTGAATTCTTAATTTTGAGAAATGATAATCCAGTAATTCTAATCAAAAGAACTCTTCAGCTGAGGAAAAATTCTGCATAAAAACAAGGTGGCTAGAAGCTACCAGTTAAATCAAAAAAGTAAGAAGCTACACTTGGAGCCAGGAAAGGTTTTTGAATAAGAGAGGTGACACGGTGATTCAAGAAAGTATGACTGCATTTTGTGTACAGGATTGAGGGGAATAACTGAAATTATGGAGTCTGAGCTAGAGGTTAAAGTGGTCAGGGAGGGTATGAATGAAAAGTTAAGAACTAGATTGAGCTTTAAAGAATCCTTCAGAATTGAAGTAGAAAGAGTGAGTAATCTAGTGCTTTAGTTGATATTACTGGGAGCGTTTTTGAATTAATGATACTATGGATTCTTTTTTTTTGCAATAGAAAGTCTCTTGTTTAAAAGAAAGCAACCTTAAGAGGCAGTGTATGATTTTTTTATGAAACTTGCAAAATCAGTCAAGGAAAAACAAATTATATGAACTTCAGTAGGAGATGTGAATAAATGTGATCAGAGATAAATTAGATGTTTTGTGCATAATAAGAAAGAGGGAGAGAGTCTATTCAGGGATGGGACAGTGATAAAATAATAAGCTTAAGCAATTAATGCTTAATGCATATTCTGGTTAAAAGTATCATTAGACTTAAAAACTGCTAGAAAATGTGATTTAGAAAAAGTGTTTTTTTTTTCCTGAATTAACTCTGGCACAAAAGGTGAAATACTAACTTTCAGCCATTTGTACTTTTATTTATATATATATATTTTTTAATCTCATTTTATTATTATTATTTTTGTTTTTGGCCATACTGCACAGCATGTGGTATCTTTTTTTTTTTTTTACTTTTATTTGCATTTATTTTCTGCGGCATTTATTCCCGGGCCATAAGTTTTTGTTTCTTCAGTTTCTTCTGGGATATCTTTTTCTTCTGTGCAACCTCCTCTTCTGGTTTAGGAACAATCTGTTCTTTTTCAGTAAGGATCATCTCAATGTGGCAGGGAGAGCTCATGTAGGGGTTGATCTGACCGTGAGCTCTGTAAGTCCTGCGCCACATCTTGGGGGCTTTGTTCACTTGGATGTGCTCAATGACCGGAGAATCTACATCTAAGCCCTTAAGTTCAGCATTACTCTCTGCATTTTTGAGCTTGTGTAGTAAAAATTCAGCACTCTTTTTGGGCCACTGACCCTGCGTCCAGCCCCACTGTTTGGCCTGTGCACACCCACCAACTCCACCATTTTAACGACAGGATGGTACACATTGCTTCTTTAAAGTGACATCCTTCAGATACTTGGTGGCTTTTCGGATATGCATACCCTTTATGGCCTGGGCAGTCTCACGAGTGTTCTTAAAGTGAACACGAAGATTTGAACCGCTTGATTTGCATGATTTTTGTGGGGTTTTCTGGGTCATGTGAATAACGCACCATTTTTAAGGGTCAGCTCAGGCCGCTTACTGGAAAAGGAAGAGCATGTGGGATCTTAATTCCACAACCCCCTGACCAGGGATCAAACCCACGTGTCCCCTACCTTGGAAGCATACAGTCTTAACCACTGCACCATCAGGGAAGTCCCTATTTATACTGTTAAGTAGCACATAATGAGGAACAAAGAGACTTTCCAGGTGGTGCTGGTGGTAAAGAACCCATCTGCCAGTGCAGAAGATGTAACAGATGTGAGTTCCATCCCTGAGTCAGGAAGATCCGCTGGAGGAGGGCATGGCAGCCCACTCCAGTATTCTTGCCTGAAGAATCCCATGGGCAGAGGAACCTGGAGGGCTACAGTCCCTGGGGTCACAGAGTCGGACACGACTGAAGCGACTTAGAATGCATGTACTTACAAGAAAGAAGATGGCTTCTTTGCTGTTCTTTTATTAAAAAGTTTAACTAACACTGTCTTCTTGATTTCTGGTGAATAATTGAAATGATTCTTTGGCTAGTCAAGATGAATTATTCTCAGATTTCTGGCTATTTTGTATCAACAGAAATTTTCCAAACAGAGTTTTGAATATACTATATGACAAAAATAATAATAAAGAACTAGATTATTTCAGCAGATTCACTGTTAACTTGTGTAATATTTACCCTTCACAGTGGTTTTCATAAAAGCTATCCATGATACCTCAGAGAATTTGACGTCAGGGGAATTCAGGGATCGAGATTAAAGTTAGGATTAAAGACCATGTTGTATTTTTCAGTCCTCAGTCTGAGGATCTGTTTCTTCCATCGCTGGGGGAGCACATGATGAGACTAAAGTCTCACAGGAGACATGTGAGAGAACACCAACGTCAGTGTCTGTGTTAGAAATAAACTGCAAAATAAGCAAATAATAAAGAAATGCGTTTAGACCATTTTGGTTGGTTATGTTTCTTATCAATTAGTAAAGAAGCCAGCATCTTTGAATATTGAAATACTTGAAATTTGCTGGTTTGATTTCTGATTTGGCTTTTTGTTTACAACTTCATGATTCTTCACAGGTTTATTAACTGGAGTCGTGGTGGACTCTGGAGATGGTGTGACTCACATATGCCCGGTGTATGAAGGCTTTTCTCTCCCTCACCTTACCAGGAGGCTGGATATTGCTGGGAGGGATATTACCAGATATCTTATCAAGGTAAGCAAAAGAGAATATCGTAGAATTAGATTTTGTAGGTTTGTGTATATCTACTGAAAACAAATTTGAATGTATCACCTCAGGGTTCTAGTGAATCTGCACCACCAGAGAAGTGGCCCAGTACTTTATTCATATAAAAATCTGTATGAGATTTGCACACATAATCTCCTGTGTACTAATGAGAGCTCATCATTACGTAATTAGAATTACGTAATGCCTTTCCTGAGGAATGGGAAGAGAGGTATGTCAAAGATGGAAGAAGACTCTTAAGGCTTCCTTGAACAACTTGGGCAGCCTTTCAGCCGTAAAACCCTCTTTGAACAAGATGTATGTTAAAATTTATTTGTCAGTGTAGTTAGTGATGATATTCTTTAAAATATTGGCCGATATTTAACATATAAGGCCACTCTTTGGAAACATGTGTGGTTTTTGTAATGTAGGGGAAAAAAGATTTAGAATATTGTCTGTACCAGAACTCTGTAATTAGTACATTCTCTCCAGGTCAGTGGTTCTCAATCAGGGATGATGCCACTACTCCAGGGACACTTTGAAATGTCTGAAGACATTTTTTGGTTGTTACATCTTTGCAGGAAGGCCGCTAAACATCCTACAGTCAACAGGGCATCCCCCACAACAAAGGACTATAAGGTCCAATATGTCACTGGTACTACTGTGGGGAGACTGTTCTGGGTTGCGTTAAGTCTTCATATTGACATTGGGTTAGTAATAAGATTGGTAATGAGAATTATAATATCATTCTAAGCCACAATTCTATTTGAGGGTGACTACCAAAGGATTGCCCAAGAGTTTTCTTTTGAATGTAAACTCAAAGATCAGAGGATTTTTAGTTTTTCATGTGAAAAGTCTAATTTGTTTACGATGCATATTGTGTGTGTTTTTGTTTTTCCTGTCAGGTTGAATTCTTGTTTATGTTTGTTTGTTTATTTAACAAATACTATTGCCCCTCTAATATGTGTCAGACATATTTCATGATTATGGCATTGACTGAGTAAATTAAATTGCAGATTATAGGAATCCAGTGCTAAAATATTATTTATTAATAGATTATTATTATTATGTCCATTTATTATTCATGAACTGTTAATTCTGTCACTTCCTGTGGAACTTTCCTGTGAAAGTGAAATGTAAATTCTTTTATGGTAAGTAATATTCTCCTTTCTGAAATAGTAGAGCTAAGGTTCTGCTGTTCATTGTATTTGGTATTGATGTGACATACTTAGAGAACATTAATCTCTTTTGTGGAGTTGAACTCACTCAGATTAATTACTGCTGTTTTTTTGTACCAGCTGCTTCTGTTGCGGGGATATGCCTTCAACCATTCTGCTGATTTTGAAACGGTTCGCATGATTAAAGAAAAATTGTGTTATGTGGGATATAATATTGAGCAAGAGCAGAAACTGGCCTTAGAGACCACAGTATTGGTTGAATCTTACACAGTAAGTATATCTGGTGTATGATATATAAATATGGTTTTAAAGTGGGCGACAGTGACTATTGGTGTGTGCTTAAGGAGGTTTTCTTGGAATTTAGTACTTTGGGTTTAGGTTGTTATAATTTGTATATGTATGACCTTTAATGTCTTTTCTACATTATGATACTATGATTTAGTTATTTTAATAAGGCAAGAATCATATATTGCTTTTCTACTTTAGGATGCAGTTAGATATGAAATGTTATTTTGAGATTCTCGTACCTGGAGTAGCATTTTTCAGCATGGGTTTCACATAATGTTATTTCTCTGAGATGTTAGTAGGTATTGACAAAAATTTTAAATGTAGGGTTACATTGTCAGATGAGTTTGCGAGAGAGTCAGTTTCCCTTTATTAAAGGACTTCTCAGAACCTTTGATATGCTGATTTCTACATGATTACGGTATTCTTCAGCATTTCATGGGACTGGTATTCTAAGATACTTTGGAAAATGGTCATCCTATAGGATTGCTTTAACAATTCAGTAGGTGACAGTCTTCCTGACTTAGTATTTTCTTACTGAGATGTTCAGAACAAATGTTGAGTTGAAATTGTAACTAATGATACTTAGAACCAAGTTATAGTTTATATCAGGGGAGTTGAATTTTCAGTGTATTGCTGCCTTAAATCTGTCATTTTCATCTGGGTATAAAGTACTTCCATTCTGTGTCTTTGATCTGCTACTGTTGTTTAGTCGCTAAGTCATATCTAACTCTTTGCGACCCCATGGACACCTGCCAAGCTCCTCTGTCCATGTGATTTCCCAGGCAAGAATACTGGAGTGGGTTGCCATTTCCTTCTCCAGGGAATCTTTCCAACCCAGGGATTGAACCCGTGGAAGGCAGATTCTTTACCACTGAGCCACCAAAACTGGAATTGAGTGATAGGCAATAAAAGCAAGTATTCTTCCACCATTTAATTCATATAGACAGAGGATATCACAAATATGTACAAAATAGTCACTTTAAAGATAATTTTAAATTTTTATAAGTTATATTGTTTCATTTCAGAAGATACTGATCCAAATATTCAGTAAATCAATACTTTGCACCTCAGTCATCTACAGATTTGCCCTAGGGATTCTTTCCTGAGGCCTTCTTGATAGTTCCCCTAGATTTATAATTTATCGTCTACCTGACTTTGGAAGAAAGCATCATGAGACAGAGGATAAGGGAACTAGAAATATAAAACATATTTTATCTCTTCCCTCCTTCCTCAGAATTTGAGGCAGGTTACAAAAGTATATGTGACAAATAAACCGGGAACTGATGAAGAGGGAAAATAGTGGACAAATAGAGGATAAGATAAGGTTTGGTGCAGAGAAATTGGCAGGCATACAGTTTTAACAGTTCTGAGAGGTAAGTAGTTCCATGGGTAGGTGGCCCTAGGCTGGTCTCCAACCAGAGCTTTGAGAAGAGCCACATTGTCCAGGTACAGATGTTTTATGCTAATGATAGTCTGCCATGTGAAGTTTTTCTATATATCTTGGATGATTTCATGTGGTTTTTAAAGTCACTGGATGGTTGTGTTTATTTTGTTAAAGGTAAATTTTTTTACAAAAAAATTTGATACAATTTATAAAAAGATAATTCTGGAGTTTTTGAAAGATGTGATTGCGTTGCACATACTGTATACAGTTAGAGCAGACATGGAGTAAATGTCTTTAAGAACTTGCCTTGAGATACTTCGTCATGTTGGAAAGTGAGTTTGGGAATCTAAGTATAGTTATTATAATTATGTTATTTTAAACTGATATACTGTTAGAAATGTTAATGTAAAACTAATTCTGGTCTTTCATATAGAAATGTGTCAACATGCTTGTTACTTAGGTCAATTCTATGAATTGTGAGGGAGTTTTTGTTTAACATTTCTCATTTAATTAAACATAAACATGATGTAACTTAAAGGTTTTCTGCACAGGGTCATATGATAGTGGTATCTTAGCAGTTGCTTAAATCTTATTTTCATAAAATTATATTTATCTATTTAAAAATTTAATAGGACCTAGTAAGTAGGATACAACCGAATTGCCTAATAAAAACTAGGTTAGCGTCCTTAAGCTTTTTTGATCGTAAGATTTTCCTTGGATTAAATGATTTGATGGAAGTTTCACACGTGATATAAAGTGTTTGATGGCAAAAAAATAGCTCCCCAGAATAATTATTTGGTGAAAGAAATTTAAAATTTTTAATTGAATGTGTCTGTGCTACATGGTAAAAATCTCCCTAAACTCAAAAATGTGTTAAAATGATAAAGAGAAACAGCATTGATTCCGGCAAAAGTCCAGTTGCTGTGGGTGATCAGCACTACCTGTAGTGCTCACTTGCACACACCAGTAGACATCACACATTTGTGTATTGGTGACTCCTTCAAGAAATTCCTGCTATTTGGGGGCAGGACATATCATTTCAAAAGCAGAACAGAGCATGATAATAAAAACAATTATTTTAATGTGTTTTACTTTGTCTTTTTTCAAAAATGTATTTTGGGAAAAATATATTGCTAATGATTTTGGTTATAAGACAGGCATACTAGCACCTAAAGAACACTGGAAACTTTTTAAATCTTTTGCTGATACCTGATTGTTCTTGATCTCTAGCTCCCAGATGGCCGCGTTATCAAAGTCGGGGGAGAGAGGTTTGAAGCCCCGGAAGCTCTGTTTCAGCCTCACTTGATCAATGTCGAGGGAGTAGGTGTTGCTGAATTGCTTTTTAACACAATCCAGGCGGCTGACATTGATACCAGGTACTTTAGAAATGGTTGTTTCAAAGTTGCTTATCAGAAATAGATGGAATATAAATAGCTAGAGTGACCAAGTTGTCTATTGTCTCACCCAAGTTTTTGATGGGATGACACTGGTTGTTGAATGACATATATCATTGTGTCTCAGATGCCCATTTAAATTTATTTCGAAATACTTTAAACATTGCAAGTTGCCAGAATAGAAAGAGGACCCCTGTACACTACCCAGTTTTCCATTTCACTGCTTATAGCATTCTGCGTGTTTGTGTGCCCCCCCGCCTCCTGGTCTTGAGTCATCTGAGAATAGGTTGAATGTGAAAGTCCTTTGTGCTTCTCAGGAATGAGGCTGCTCTCTTATAGCCACAGTGCAGTTACTGAGTTCAGGGCATTGATTGCTGATGTACTTTTACCTGCCATCCGTATTTCAGTTTCATTCTCTGTCCCAGTAATGTCCTTTATACAGTTTTTCTTTTCTCCAGTAAAGGGTCAGAACTGAGAGCACACATTGTGTTTAGTTGTCATGTCTCTTAGTTACCTTTTATCTGTTGTAACCCCTCAGTCTTTCATGACATTGATATTTTTGCAGACTACAATTTGGGTTTGAATGTTTTCTCATGATTAAATATAGATTTTGCATTTTCGGCTGGAACACTCCTTAAGTGATGTGTCCTTCTTAGGTTATCACATCCAGAAGTGATCTCGGTTTGCTCCTATTTGGTGATGTTAGTGTTAAACTCTTAGTGAAGTTTCCTGTTTTCTCCATTGTATCAGTTCAGTTCAGTTCAGTCGCTCAGTCGTGTCTGACTCTTTGCGACCCCACGGACTGCAGCACTCCAGGCCTCTGTCCATCACCAACTCCTGGAGTTTACTCAAACTCATGTTCATTGAGTCGGTAATGCCATCCAATCATCTCATCCTTTGTAGTCCCCTTTTCCTCCTGCCTTCAATCTTTGCCAGCATCAGGGTCTTTTCAAATGAGGCAGTTCTTCGCATCAGGTGGCCAAAGTTTTGGAGTTTCAGCTTCAACATCAGTCCTTCCAATGAACATTCAGGACTGATTTCCTTAGGATGGACTAGTTGGATCTCCTTGCAGTCCAAGGGACTCTCAAGAGTCTTCTCCAACACCACAGTTCAAAAGCATCAGTTCTTCAGCATTCAGCTTTCTTTATAGTCCAACTCTCACATCCATACACGACTACTGGAAAAACCATAGTCAACAAACCATTGGTTTGTTGGCAAAGTAATGTCTCTGCTTTTTAATATGCTGTCTAGGTTGGTGATAACTTTTCTTCCAAGGAACAAGCATCTTTTTATTTCATTTCTGCAGTCAGCATCTACAGTGATTTTGGAATCCAAAAAAATAAAGTCTGTCATTGTTTCCCCATCTATTTGCTATGAAGATGATGGGACCAGATGCCATGATTTTAGTTTTCTGAATGTTGAGCTTTAAGCCAACTTTTTCACTCTCCTCTTTCACCTTCATCAAGAGGCTCTTTAGTTCTTCTTCAGTTTCTGCCATAAGGGTGATGTCATCTGCATACCTGAGGTTATTGGTATTTCTCCCGGCAATCTTGATTCCGGTTTGTGCTTCCTCCAGCCCAGGGTTTCTCATGATGTACTCTGCATATAAGTTAAATAAGCAGAGTGACAGTATACAGCCTTGACGTACTCCTTTTCCTATTTGGAATCAGTCTGTTGTTCCATGTCCAGTTCTAACTGTTGCTTCCTGACCTGCATACAGGTTTCTCAAGAGGCAGGTCAGGTGGTCTGGTATTCCCATCTCTTGGAGAATTTTCCACAGTTTGTTGTGATTCACACAGTCAAAGGCTTTGGCATAGTCAATAAAGCAGAAATAGATGCTTTTCTGGAACTCTCTTGCTTTTTCGATGATCCAGCGGATGTTGGCAATTTGATCTCTGGTTCCTCTGCCTTTTCTAAAACCAGCTTGAACATCTCGAAGCTCATGGTTCACGTATTGTTGAAGCCTGGCTTGGAGAATTTTGAGCATTACTTTGTTAGCGTGTGAGATGAGTGCAATTGTGCAGTAGTTTCAGCATTCTTTGGCATTGCCTTTCTTAGGGATTGGAATGAAAACTGATCTTTTCCAGTCCTGTGGCCATTGCTGAGTTTTCCAAATTTGCTGGCATATTGAGTGCAGCACTTTCACAGCATCATCTTTTAGGATTTGAAATAGCTCAGCTGGAATTCCATCACCTCCACTAGCTTTGTTTGTAGTGATCCTTCCTAAGGCCCACTTGACTTCATATTCCAGGATGTCTGGCTCTAGGTGAGTGATCACACTATCATGATTATCTGGGTCATGAAGATCTTTTTTGTACAGTTCTTCTGTGTATTCTTGCCACCTCTTCTTAATATCTTCTGCTTCTGTTAGGTCCATACCATTTCTGTCCTTTATTGAGCCCACCTTTGCATGAACTGTTCCCTTGGTATCTGTAATTTTCTTGAAGAGATCTCTAGTCTTTCCCATTCTATTATTTTCCTCTATTTCTTTGAACTGGTCACTGAGGAAGGCTTTCTTATCTCTCCTTGCTGTTCTTTGGAACTCTGCATTCAAGTGGGTATATCTTTTCTTTTCTCCTTTGCTTTTCGCTTCGCTTCTTTTCACAGCTATTTGTAAGGCCTCCTCAGACAGCCATTTTACTTTTTTTGCATTTCTTTTTCTTGGGGATGGTCTTGCTCCCTGTCTCCTGTACAGTATCATGAACCTCTGTCCATAGTTCATCAGGCACTCTGTCTATCAGATCTAGTCCCTTAAATCTATTTCTCATTTCCACTGTATAATTGTTAGGGATTTGATTTAGGTCATACCTGAATGGTCTAAGGTTTTCCCTACTTTCTTCAGTTTCAGTCTGAATTTGGCAATAAGGAGTTCATGATCTGAACCACAGTCAGCTCCTGGTCTTGTTTTTGCTGACTGTATAAATCTTCTCCATCTTTGGCTGTAAAGAATATAATCAGTCTGATTTCGGTGTTGACCGTCTGGTCATGTCCATGTGTAGAGTCTTCTCTTGTGTTGTTGGAAAAAGGTGTTTGCTATGACCAGTGCATTCTCTTGGCAGAACTCTATTAGCTGTTGCCCTGCTTCATTCTGTACTCCAAGGCCAAATTTTCCTGTTACTGCAGGTGTTTCTTGACTTCCTACTTTTGCATTCCAGTCCCGTATAATGAAAAGGCCATCTTTTTTGGGTGTTAATTCTAGAAGGTCTTATAGGTCTTCATAGAACTGTGCAGCTTCTTCAGCATTATTGGTCAGGGCATAGACTTGGATTACCATGATATTGAATGGTTTGCCTTGGAAATTAGATCATTCTGTCATTTTTGAGAGTGCATCCAAGTACTGCATTTTGAACTCTTGTTGACTATGATAGCTACTCCATTTCTTCAAAGGATTCTTGCTGAGAGTAGTAGATATAATGGTCATCTGAGTTAAATTCACCCATTCCAGTCCCTTTTAGTTCTCTGATTCCTAAAATGTTGATGTTCACTCTTGCCATCTCCTGTATGATCACTTCCAATTTGCCTTGGTTCATGGACCTAACATTCCAGGTTTCTGTGCAGTATTTCTCTTTACAGCATCGGAGCTTGCCTCCATCACCAGGCACATCCACACCTGGGTGTTGATTTTGCTTTGTCTCCGTCTCTTCAGTCTTGCTGGAGTTATTTCTCCACTGATCTCCAGTAGCATGTTGGGCACCTACCAACCTGGGGAGTTCATCTCTCAGTGTCCTATCTTTTTGCCTTTTCATACTGTTCATGGGGTTCTCAAGGCGGGAATACTGAAGTGGTTTGCCATTTCCTTCTCCAGTGGACCACATTTTGTCAGAACTCTTTACCATGACCTGTCCGTCTTGGGTGGCCCTAGACGACATGGCTCACAGTTTCATTGAGTTAGACAAGGCTGTGGTCCATGTGATTAGATTGGTTAGTTTTCTGTGATTGTGGTTTTCAGTCTGTCTGCCCTCTGATGGAAAAGGATGAGAGGCTTATGAAAGCTTCCTGATGGGATAGACTGACTGAGGGGGGATACTGAGTTTTGTTCTAATGGGTGAGGCCATGCTCAGTAAATCTTTAATCCAATTTTCTGTTGATGGGTGGAGCTGTGTTCCCTCCCTGCTGTTTACCTGGGGCCAAACTGTGGTGGAGCTTCCCTCCTGGCTTAGATGGTAAAAGCATCTGCTTGCAATGTGGGAGACCAGGGTTAGATCCCTGGGTGGGGAAGATCTCTGGAGAAGGAAATGGCAACCCACTCCAATACTCTTGCCTGGAAAATTCCATCAGTGGAGGAGCCTGGTGGGCTACAGTCAGTGGGGTCGCACAGAGTCAGACACAGCTGAGCGACTTCACTTCACTTTGAACTGTGGTGGAGGTAATGAAGATAAGGGTGACCTCCCGCAAAAGAGCCCATGCGTGTACTGCCACAGTCCGTGCCCCCAGCCCTGCAGCAGGCCACCACCGACCCACGCCTTCACCGGAGGCTCCTGGACCCCCATAGGCGAGTCTCCTGTGGGGTCACTGTTCCTTTCTCCTGGGTCCTGGTGCACAAGGTTCTGTGTACGCTCCAAGAGTCTGTTTCCCAGTCTTGTGTAAGTTCTGGAAGCTTTGTGGTGGGGTTAGTGGTGACCTCCTCCAAGAGGACTTAGGCCGTATCCATACCCAGAGCGCCTGTCCCTGCGGCAGAGCACTGCCGACCCGCACCTCCGCAGGAGATGCTCCGGCACAGTTTGTCGCAGTCTCTGTGAGGTTCCTGGGTTCTGGTGCACACAAGGTTGGTTTGAGCCCTCTGAGCGTCCTCTCCATTGTATAGGTTTTCTTTTTTTTCCTGATTTATAAGTAATTTGTGGGAAAGTACTTTCAGTAGTGTCCAGCTCTCTGCAACCCCATGAACTGTAGCCCGCCAAGCTCCTCTGTCCATGGAATTCTCTAGGCAAGAATACTGGAGTGGGTGGCCATCCTCTTCTCCAAGAGATCTTCCCAACCCAGTGAATGAACCTGAGTCTCCTGCATTGCAGGCAGATTCTTTACCGTCTGAGCCACCGGGAAGCCGCAAAATACTTTTGAGACTGTAAATCTGTTCTTCATCAGTTTCTGACTTGCACCCCTTTTATCATCAATTGATGATTTTTGCCTAAATCCATTTTTACTGTGATGGTTGCAAAAAGATGATTTATCTCATTCTGTCATTCCTTCTGTATTTATTAGTTGGCATTCTAGCATAAGGAGCTGCCTTTCCTTCTCCCTTGTTTTTGTTAATTATCAGTATGGACTTGTGATTTTATTCAATGGATTATAATTTTTATCTCTGCCTTATTTAATTTTGGTACCAAATTGTCCCAATTTGGCCTATGAGAGCCCCTTCAAGCGGGCTCCTGTGTCCTTTGTTGTTGTTCAGTCTCTAAGGCATGTCAGACTCTCTGGGACCCCGTGGACTGAAGCCCGCCAGGCTCCTCCGGCAATTCTCCAGGCAAGAACATTGGAGTAGGTTGTTGTTTCCTTCTCCAGGGGCTCTCCTTTGCACCCTCCTCTCTTTTGAGCATGTTCTATTTCATTCTGTTTTGTGGCACAGGATAGTCCCAGCTCATCTTGAATTTTGGTTTCTGAAGAGGCTGTCAAAACTACAAAGAAAGGACCCTCAGAAGTATTATTGTCCCCACCTGTTGTCTTCCACCTTAGTGCTACTCCCTGTATTTCTTATTTTCTTACACAAGAGGTAGCATCCTTTAAATACTCTTGAACTTTGTTTTTTTCTCTTAATATATCCTAAACAACCTTGTACCACTTCCTGTGTGTTGCTGTTGTTCTTTTTTCCACTGTGTACACATAATGGCTTCTTCAGTGAATCCTGGTTATCTAGGTAGGGTCCAGTATTTGTGCGGACAGATAATGCTGCAGTTAATAGCCTTGCGCGACCTGTATCTTTGTATTGTTGGGATATATGTCCTGAAAAAACGCCTGAGCGGGGAATAGTTGGGTCAAAAGGCAAATGTGTGTGGTTTTGTAATTGCTCAATTCCCTTCTTTTAAGGTTGTACCCTTTCTCTTTCCTACAGTCATGTCTGAGGACACTACAGCTGTTCACAAGAGTCTGTCAGCATTTTACTTGCATGTCAGTCTAATGAATGAGAAATGATATCTCAATGTAATTCTAACTTGCATTTCTCTTAAGATTGAAGTTGCGTATATTTTTCTATGCGTTGTGTGCTAATTTGCTTCAGTTGTGTCCAACTCTTTGCAACCCTCTGACTGTAGCCCCTCCGGCTCCTCTCTCCATGGGGATTTTTCAGGCAAAAATACTGGAGTGGGTTACCATGGCCTCCTTCAGGGGATCCTCCCAACCCAGGGATTGAACCCAAGTCTCTTACGTCTCCTGCATTCGCAGGCAGGGTCTTCACCGCTGGAGCCAACTGGGAAGCCCTATGGACCATTTTTATATCTTTTCTTGGTGAATTATCTGTTTGTGGCTTTTGCCTGTTATCTGTAAAATTTTTGTAATTTTTTTTTTCCTCTCAATTTTTAAAGAAGTTCTTTATATTTGAGCTCTGTGATCCATTTGTAGATATTTTGTAATTTTTCATTTGTCTCTTCTGGTGTTTCTGGCCACACAAAATTTTGGTTTTATTTAGTTATGTGAGAAGATTTATAATCTTTTATTGCAGCTTGAGTTTGAGTCACAGAAAGCTCTCCTCTTCACCCAAGTTGAGAAATTCACTCAGAAACATTTTATTAAGCAAGTGTTTGCTTACTTCTTTATTTAACCCTAATGAAATAACCATCTAATTTTTGTGGGAGGCTGGGGAACAGGACAATAATAATAATTAGCAAAAATAGCAATTGTCTTAGAACAAGCTATAAATCTAATGGAAGATGTTCAGAAGTCTAATCTAGACTTCATAATTATGATAAATTCTCATAGTGGGGATTGGATAGATACTTTTGTCCCTTGATGTAATGATCATTAATAGCAAGAATATATATAAAAGTGCGTACCTGTTGGTGGTGATTGAAGTTTTGGTGATGCTAAAGCACTGGAGTCAGGTTCAGTACCCTTTCCACATTGCTAGCGTTGGAAAGTTGCAGCACTCAGATTTTGTTCTGCATGTTCAGTGTATTGAAAGCATACATGTAAATGCTCATGGGCATATGCCACATGTAGCTATATGTCAGCTGCTTAGTTTATAACATTCATGCATGCATCTGCAATTAAATGCAATACAAAACTTCTTCTAGAAGCTAGAATTACAATAGCCTGAGCCCTTCAGAACGTGAAAGGAAGTAAAACCTGGAAGCCAGTTTGAATGAATCCAAAATGGATACAACTTAGCTCCTGAGCTTTACTAAAAAAAGTTCCTTCGACCCTCACATAGATTATACTGTTAATATTTTTACTCCATATGCAGTTATTTTAGATTTGATTATCTGGTATCATGACCAACAGCATATTAAGGAAGAAAGAGAGGACTGCTATTAGAAGCAAGCACATCAATCTAACCAAAAATAATAGCCAGCGGCCTCAAAGCAGAGGAACAAAAGGGAAAACTAGAAAAGGCAAATGGAAAAATTCAAAAGCTAGAAGTGGAGTCGTGGTGGAATATGGTTTATTATAGTCCACTACCACATCTAAGTGGCTCAGTGGAAGCACTGTTAAAAGCATAACCCAAATACCACTCCTTTGTGATGTGAACTAGTCGTTACTGAAAGACTTAATTACATTTGCAAGAAAATGTGTTATGTGCTTTAGGAGTATTGTCATCAAAATGATAATAAATATTTTATATATAAAGAGTTTGTTATCTGTTTACAGTGGTAATAGCAAGCTTTCAGCCCTGCGGTTTACATGTTGAATTTTATTTAATCTCCCAGCAACCACCTGAGGCTAATGTAAATAAAAGCAACTCTTGAGATGCTGTTTTCCTAATATGAAACCCCTAATGAGTACCTGTTGTGTCTTCCTAGATCTGAGTTCTATAAGCACATTGTGCTTTCTGGAGGGTCTACTATGTACCCTGGTCTGCCATCCCGGTTGGAACGAGAGCTTAAACAGCTTTACTTAGAACGAGTATTGAAGGGTGATGTGGAAAAACTTTCTGTAAGTATCAATCAGTACTCCAACTGTTAGCATACTGTTAAAACCCTGTAAAAATAGCTTGTGATTTTTGACAACCACCAGAGGGAGCAAGAAGTCTTCCAAAACAAATGTCTAATGCAGTCTAGTGCAGCCTTGAAAAAGTAGGAAGAAGTAAATGGTTCAAGATGAGCTTTGTCTCAACGGTCCTAGTGCCAGCTCACCTTTCTACTCAGTGAACTGAGACAGCTGGGTCCAGTGACAAATGTTTTGGTTCATCTGTAACAAATAGCCTGGAACCACGGTGCCTGTACATGGGTGGGAAGAACCTCCTGTACTGTGGAGAGAGGCCCGTTGGTTTGGTTTGGTTTTGTTTTTTAATATGTCATCAACATTCGGTGCTACTCTTGGACTGTCTCGTATTTCTGATTTAAAATTATTTTCTGGCTGTTTCTTGCATATGTCTTTTATCTCCCCAATCAGATAGTCTCCAGTTCTTTTGCATCCCTGTCAACTATCATAGCCCTTAAAACGGACTTGAAATGATAGTTGTTGATACATAGAGTGGAAAGAAACTTTTAAACTAGGGTGTAACAGTTGATGGTTATTTGACATTTTTCTCTACAAACCCTGGACTGTGTGAAGTACACTATACATACTACGTGCTCAACTAGGAGTCGTTTAATTCTAAGTTAATCTCTGAGGTTTGTCTCACCAACTTTGGTCAGCTGTTTTAGATAATGAGAGTGCATCATACAGAGGGCTTTATATATTGGAGACACTATATTACATCTTTCATTTGTGACTCAAATTACTGAAATTAAATTCTGTATGGACTCATACGTTAAACAGATTAAAAGACTTAAAGGAGGCGTGTTGTCTAAGAACTTCACTCATTTGTCTGATTTTATTGAGTTATACATATAATTTAAAGTCAGTCTTAGATGATTATTCAGCAGATACTTCTTGAACTCCTTCTGTGTGCCAAACACTTGTCTAGGTGCTGGGGGAAACAAAACAGTGGTGAACAAAACTGAAAATCTCTGCTTTTAGTCTGTGAATAATACTTTGGTTAGTAATAAGCACTATGAGGAAAAGTCAGGTTAGGGGCTCGAAAGTGATAGTGATTGGGGGAGATGGTGTGCTTCTTGATGTAGAGTGATCAGAGAAGGGGCCCAATGAGATAACTTTTGAACAAAGACGGGAGGGAATGAGGAGCCTGACCCTCTGGGGGGAAGAATCTTCCAGGCAGTAACAGTCCTGAGTTACGGGGAGTGTGTAGGAGTGGCTGGAGCAGAGAAGCAAGGGAGGGGACTGGGAGGTGAGCGTGGAAAGGTAGTCAGGGGACCTCCCTGGTGACCCAGTAGTTAAGACTCCACACTTCCACTGCAGGGGGTATGGGTTCGATCCCTGGTGGGGCAACTAATCCCACATGCCACACGGTACGACCAAAAAAAGAAAGGTAGTCAGGACGCAAGTCTTGTTCAGCTGTGGTAAAGATTTTGACTTTCCTTCTATTGAGATAGAAAGTCTTGGGAGGATTTTGAGCAGAGAAAGTATTATCTGATTTGTTTAAAGGATCATTAAATCTGATGTGGTGAATACATGGTTGAGAAAAGAGAGGAAGAACTGATGTCGCAGGATGGGTTAGGAGGCTCTCAGAGAAGGGAGGAGCTGGTAGATGTTTGTGAAATAAATGAGGAGGTGTGAAGTGGTGTCTTAGAGAGTGGAATAGAGAAGAGAAATGTCATGGGGTTGCTGAGCATCTCTGAGGGGCTCAGTTGAGGTAAAGCCTAAAGTGGATGTTGAGTTTTTCTCACCCCTCACTCAGTAACTTGAGGGCAGGGGCAGAGCAGAGAGTTGACCACCTGAAATGGGGTTCTGCCAAGCAAGGCAGAGAAGGACAGCGTCACTGAGGATGGTGTCAAGACGTGGTGGAGAGAGCGCACATGCGCCACGGAGCAGGTCTGAGAAGAATTCCTCTTTTTGGGGCTCTGTAGACACCATGGGCCCAGAGAGTGGTGGCTGGGATGGCCCAGAAGGGCGAGTTTCTGAGGGTCTCTGGAATGGCAGTGGTGAGAAACAGCAGCCCGTTGCAAAAGCTGCAGGGGCAGCGGTGTCCTCAAGGGCTAGCCAGGTTTCCCCAGGAGCAGGGTGGCCAGAACACAGCCCCAGACCAGACCTGGCTGTTTTATAAATGAAGCTTTTGGGAACATGGACAAAGCAGACTCTTTTGTCACCTAATATGTTACTTGTTGTCACATACTGTCTCTGGCTGCCGTTAGCTATTGCCAGAGTAGACCCTGCAGAGCTTCAAGTATTTACCCTCTGATCCCTGTAGAAAATGTTTGCTGACCCCTGCCTAAGAGTGAAAAAGTAACTAGAATAGTTAGAACAATAGGTTAGCCTCAGAATTAATTAATCAGTTAACAGGTGTTTTTCTATGTCATATATTATGACAGATCCTACAGTTCATGTATGTGACATAAAGACAGTTAAGATGACATAGTTATTTTGAGTCTTTTTGCACAATTTGTGACTTTGTAAATAAAACTGCTACTTCATTTTAATGTTTCTCTTTCATGAGTTGACTTACCATACAGAAGGAGGTCTCTCCTTGTTAGACAGCTAAGAGTGGCTACAGAGTGTAAAGCTTTTCCTGCTTGTGTTTAATTTTCTTTACTGTGTTCATTTTTTCCAACATCCTTATAATTTATCTTGACCATATTTGGCCTTGTTTATTCAAACATTCGTTTGGATTTGAAACAATAGAAAGTGAGCTTTGCTTATAAGAACTTAAATCTTACTTTTTTGCCTGGGACTACGATCATAAGGGCATGAGACCTTGAAGAAAGTATAAATCCTCTTATCCCAACTCTTCATTTGATAGTTGGCTGGATGATTTGCCCATCAGTGAGACACCTGTCACAGTCAGGGCTTCGGTACTTGGGCTTTTAGTAGGGTGACCGTGGAATTCATTGTTCGTATCAGGATGCTTTTGAGAGTGACAAGGGGTGCAGTTAACGATGGGGCCACAGGTGTAAGTAGGGAGTGTTCTAAACACACTGGGATGGATTTGCGATCTCCTGGCTGTGAGTTAGGGCAAGTTACACAAGGTATCTCTCTACTTCACATGTATACATCACAGAACCTTTGTGAGAATTTAAGAAAAAGTCATTTTCATAGGATAGAAAACACCATGTACGTGTGACATTTTACTGTCTCCTCTTTTTTCCTTTAGAAATTCAAGATCCGCATTGAAGACCCCCCCCGCAGGAAGCACATGGTTTTCCTGGGAGGTGCAGTTCTAGCAGACATCATGAAGGACAAAGACAACTTCTGGATGACCCGACAGGAATACCAAGAAAAGGGTGTTCGTGTGCTGGAGAAACTCGGGGTGACGGTTCGATAAACTGTGAAGCTGGTTCCCATCATGCCCCTAATGTGCTTTCTTTTTTTCCTTTACTGCCAGTCTTTGAACTCATTCAGCTCCAGGACCTGGAAGAGGCCTCTCTGTTTGTGCCCTTTGACTGGAAAGGTCAGGTTTTATTCTGGTGTCTTGCGGAAGTTGTGTTAAATTTGTGTTAATGTGGGTAAATCTGACTGTTTTAATTCCACCACTTCCCTGCGAACACAGGGAGAGGGCAGGGGTCCTGTCTGCTGCATTGTCTGTCCTAAGCAGGCATTTGGATCGTTCCTGTAGGCTTCCTATTTTCACTTTACTGCTCTAATGCTGCTAGTTTCAGTCTTTAGCACACTAGGTGGTATGCCTTTATTAGCATAAGAAAACAACTTCAGCCGGAGCTTTTACCTATTACTGGGGTGGGGGTGGTCAGGACTGGGTGGGCGGCTGCTGAACCCTTTGTGGCGTTTCCTCTGTAGTGTGGCGCTTTCTACAGTTACTGCTGCAGCTGTAAGTACCTTAACGCTTCTGGTATTAACAGTTTAGGGAAATGGTAGGCTCGGAACAAAACTGTTTGGGTGGGTGTTTGCGTGGATGACAGGGGTAGTCTTTTGATATTCATTTTGTGATTTTTGAGCTTTTCTGCTCTAGGGTACGGGAGAGGAACTTTATTTACAATACTCTGATTTGGCTGGTTTTCTTCTACTTTTGGTCTGCCTGGAACTGTTTCCATATGATGTAAAAAGCAGGTGTAGTGTCCCATTATTATGTGGTTTGGGGGTTTTTTAATTTGTTTTTTAAAATTAACCATGTCAACTGGAATTAGACTCCCTAGAATCTATCAGTGGAAAAGTAACATTGAAAAAATGCTTTTGGAAATTCAAATTTCAGACAAAAAGTGCTTAAGAGTTGGTGTTTTTTCTAAGTGCTTCTATTTATATACCAGAAGCATTAAGGTAACCCAGTGCCAAGTACCATTCTTGAAAAAATTCTTTTATATAACCGACCAGTGCTTATTTAATAAAAACAAGTAGATACATATAAATAATTACTGGCAGTAGGTTATAATTATTGGGTTAAAAAGAACATTGAAATATGGGACTTTCTGCCAGTTGGGTAATTTTCACTAGTTTTTTTTGTTGTTGGTATGTTTTGATTTAAAACCTGGAAGTGGAGTAAAATACGACTATTTAAAATGTTGGCCCCCCAAAATCAAGATATAAATATGTATTTGAACTGAAAAAACTTAATCATAACTACTAAATCTTAGCCATCTTAGGCTTGAAAGAAAAGTAGTTGGTATTTTGTAAATGTTAGCAGACTTTCCTGTCAGAAAATCATATTTATGGATCCTGTCGGTATTGCTTGGTATCTGAAAAAAATATCAAATAGTACCCAGACTTGAATTCCTTCTAAATTGAAAAATAAAGTAATAAGAGATTGTATCACTTCTGTTAATATTATGTATCTTTTGTCTCTTTTACCTCAATTTGAACAAATAAAAGAAGTTTGCCTGCATGCTGGACATGCTTCAGTACACATGAATAAGCCTATGAATAATGTCTGTAAGATTTTAGGGACGTGGGTGGCAAGAGTCACTTTGAAATTCTAAAATGTTCCTAAATTATATACTTACCAATCCCCCCAGACTTTTGACTACTGAGTTGTTAAAGGACATAAATGCAGAACTAGTATCTACCAGTTGTTTATTTCAGGTAAACGGATAGACTCCTAACCTTTGATCATGATTTTAAAATATGGAGATAGAAAACAACAAAGAATGGAATAGACTCTTAAATAAAACAATGAAGACATGTGTCCCCTGAATGTAGAATTTGGTTTTAATTTTGTAATTTTGCTATCAAACATGACAGTTAAAATGTATTAATATATAGAGAGTGTAATTTTTAAATTACATTTAAAAATTTTCCTCTTCTAAGGTGAAATAAGGCATTTAGTATAGTGATTTGGGGGGGTTGGTGGGGAAGTATCATTAATTGGAGTTGTCAGTTATGAGCCCTTCAGAAATGAAAATGTTTTCTGTTTTAAAAGAGATGTGATTTATAGCTCTTGAAAACCATTGTCACTTAAATTCCCAATGATGTTTAAAATTCTTTTCTTTTAAATTTAGAATTGCCAATGCCTTGACCTTGGAGAAGGGTTTCTTAGAAATAAGTCCTACATTTGAACTTTTTTCCTTAAAATGGTATTGGATGTTAAGTTTTACGCAGTTCTGAGCACTCTCAATATCTGGAAGGTATTTTGAGAGATCAGTGGAAAGTCAAACATTCTGATTTTAACATAAATACACTTCTTTTTGATTAAGGAAAAAATCAGATTTTTCAAAGTACATTTGAATTTTGTCTTTGTTTTTCCTCTCGATAGTATTTCTCTTTGGATTCATTTTCTTATTTTTGTTCATATTTTCATTTTTGCTAACACAGGACAGATTGACAACTTTATGCTAGTTGTTAGGCCAAGTTCAGTTCACTGTCAAATTATTTGACAAAAAAGAACTTACCTTTTGGTATGTTCTTTATTTCAGAAATGATTTTAAATACATAAGAAAAAAATAGAATAAGAGCAAGTCACAGCTAAAGTTCTATTAAAGACATTTTTCCCTCTAGGAGACTGTTTTGTCTCCTGGAAGATTTAAGGAGGCTTTGTCAGTGTTAGAAATGCTCAAGAGACCTATATGAACATGCCTCTTCTCAAGGACATTTTAGCTCATATCTGCAGACTTTTAGGCACGTTATTTTTAACAAAACAGCTAAAGACAGATGAAAATTTATTAAGCCAACCCTTTCTTACTTTTATATTAGCCTTTGAGGAGTAGATGCAGGTATTTTTGTTTTTCCTTCTCCATGAACTTGAATGCTAGTACCTCATGGCTCCCTTCACTGCTAGAATTCCTAGGACATCCTCTGGTGTCTCATATACAGTCTCTTCCTGGTCACCTAAATCATCATGCGACCGCTCTTTCCGTGTTATAGAGGAAGAAAATCTAAGGCCCTGTATTAGGTGTCATTGTGAATACAATGAATGTCTCGGTGCTCTTCACGGTTTTTTTTCCAACCACAAACTTTGACTGCAAACTTTGTACAATTGAGTGTGGTGATTACTGCTGATTTTAGAACTTTTGAGGAGGGTACCCAGCTAGAAGTGAACCAGAAACTCAAGGATTGACTTTATCTCAATATTTAATATGTTTTCTAACCTTGGACTTGTCCAGCCACACACAGTACCTGGGGTATTTGTAGGATCACTTTTTCCCTCCAGTTAAAATTCCTTGAACTATCAGAAAATTGAAAATGCTACATCCAAGGTAAGTGGAGGAGGTGGGAGAAGGACCTGGGAAAGTGTTAAGTACTTTGTAAAGGCCAAATTGCGGACTTTTTAACCCCACCACATTGCAGTAACCTTAGCTATAGAATAAAAGTAGAATTGGGATGTAAATAAGGCGGCTCTTAGTATCAGCAGGGAATTCGTTCCAGGACACTACCCATGTGTCCCCCCACCAAGGATACCAAAATCCAAGGCTGCCAGAGCCCCTTATATAAAACAGCATGGTATTTATGTGTAACCTACATACATCATTCTGTGTTCTGTAAATCATTCCTAGATTTTGTCTGATAATATAATGTGAAGGCTGTGTAAACAGCTGCTAGGGCATGCAGCAAACTCAAGTTTTGCTTGTTGGATTTTTCTGGAATTTTTTTTCCTGAATATTTTCAATCTGCAGTTGATTGAATCCTCAGATGTGGAACCCATTTTTTAGAGGGCCAAATGAAAGTTCCAGTGATTTTTTTCACATTAAACTTAACATTTTAAAAGCATCCTTAAGCATCTTGCTCTTTGTTGGTTAAATAACATACAAAGTTAAGGGGGAAAGCTATTATATTTTCGTTTAAATCATCTTCACTGTAGCAATGACAAAAAAATAAATCTTACACCTACTATATCTCAGTTTTTGTTATGTGCAGATGTAAAATATCTTAACTGGGTAAAGTGAAAGTGTTAGTCAGTCCGACTCTTTGTGACCCTGTGGACTCTAGCCTGCGAGGCTCCTCTGTCTATGGAATTCTCAAGGCAAAAGTACTGGAGTTCCATTCAGAAATCTTCTTGACCCAGGGATCAAACCCTGGTCTGCATTGCAGGCAGATTCTTTACCATCTGAACCACTAGGGAAGCCCCATCTAACTAGGTGGAATCCAAATCCTCTTTCTCAAAAAAAAATTCTCTTTCTCTTCCTTGGGCAGAACAGAATTCCTGTCCTGTCTTTCTCATACCTACACTCAACTCCTCCTACCCACTAGAGGAAAAGGGAAAGACTGGAAAGATTCTGCAAATAATTTCCCTTGAAATAGATGAATTAATATTTTAACAAGGCTTGCATGAACTAGAAAGGTTTGGGAAACCAATCACAAGGATAAGGTACAGTTTTCAAGGCTAAGGTAGACCCCTGAGAACACTGCTTTTTGCCATTAACATCAAGTTGAGCTTTTACCTGTTGAATGCTTTTTTTTTAAGATTAGTAAAAAGGAAACTAGTCAGCTGCTTTGTACTTCCTTGAACAGAGGTTTGAAACAGGGCCCCAACTCTCAAGAGTAAGAACTCCATGCATAAAAAAGTAATCACAGATATTCAAATGTAAAGATATTCAGTTCAGTTCAGTTTAGTTGCTCAGTCATGTCCGGTTCTTTGCGACACCATGAACCGCAGCACACCAGGCCTCCCTGTCCATCACCAACTCTCAGAGTACACCCAAACCCATGTCCATCGAGTCAGCAATGCCATCCAACCATCTCATCCTCTGTCGTCCCCTTCTCCTCCTGCCCTCAGTCTTTCCCAGCATCAGGGTCTTTTCAAATGAGTCAGCTCTTCACATCAGGTGGCCAAAGTATTGGAGTTTTAGCTTCAACATCAGTCCTTCCAATGAACACCCAGGACTGATCTCCTTTAGGATGGACTGGTTAGATTTCCTTGCAGTCCAAGGGACTCTCAAGAGT